GAAATTAAATATTGAAAAATATAATATGTATGCGAGCTATGTTTCATCCTTTTTAAACTTGGCGCGAAAAAAGCATGAAGTTTAATTTGCAAAAAAAAAAAAAAACAAAAATGCAAAATTGATTTTGAAATGGAAAAATATGTGTACGTACGTATATATAAGTGACATTAGCATTAAGACACAAACATGTTTCCATTATACACGTAATTCTTAATACGTAAAAGTCCCAAATGCCAAATTCGTCTTCACATAAGTCTAATATTATCCTTAGCAATAGAAAACATTTATGTAATAATATATAGTTGGTCGTGTCCCAAGTCGGTCCAACTTAACCATCAAAAGGTTAACACAATGCAAAAGGGAAAAATTAATAACTAAATAAAGATGTGTCTAAAAATCTAATTACGAAAGGGAAGGTTACAAGACCATCCAAATGGGTCACGTAAAGCTAGAAAAGACTAATTAAATTAATAGAGAGATGTTGATAGTGCTACCGACAATTAAAAAAATCAATTAGGCTCCCGTTTGGTACACGAAATTCAAATTATAGAATTAGAATTGAGGACTTCAATTTCAATTCTGGTATTTGGTAGCACAAAAGTTATGTGGATTTGGAATTGACAGTGCAAAAAATGAACTGGAATCGGTGAACTCAATTCTATGGAATTGAATCTCATAAAATTCCAATTCCAATTCAATTCCAATTCCATCAATTCCGTATACCAAACGGACCCTTAGTTTCTTCATTTCCAGTGCCCCTCCGGACATAGCTCAACTGGTTGTAAAGAGATGAGAAAAAGGTACGTAATATATAGGTTCGACTCCTCACAATAACAATAAAAAATAATCACACATTGCACAAAGTTAACTATTTTGTTCCTGTTGTACTGTTTGGTTTATTTACTTTGAGTGTGCTTGAGCTGGGGTCTCTTGAAAATAAGATCTCTACTTTCACGTAGAAGCAAAGTCTGCATATAGACGCCCTCTCCAAACTATACCTTTTTTGAGGAATTTTTTCGGATTAGTTCTTTCTTTCTCGTTTTTAGTTTTTGAAACCTCTATTACCAACTGGTTTAGAGTCTCTGAAAAGTTGAAATTATCTATAATATCTTTGCTAGTGTTAAAACTTATGGATAACATTTTCAAAACGTACTATTTCCGTCCCAGTATTTTTGTCCAATTTGATTTTTTTCGAGTCAAACAAAATAAACTTTGAACATCAATTATTTTTAACTTGTATTACATATTGGGATGGTATAATCAAATAAAATTTTAAAAGTTCACAATAAGATCAATATAATAAAAATAAATTTTTTATTAATAAACATTATAGTTTTGTTTAATTGAAGTTCAACGCTTATTCAAATTGATTCGAAAAAGTCAAACTAGACAAATAAACTTACTGAAATGAAGTGCAGAAAAAAAAATGAAAACATTGTGGTAGTTGAGGTGGAAAAGGATCCACGGAAGCAAAAAACATTGGGGGCCTAATTGCATCAAATTCAAATAAGATTCTGTATTGTCATTTAAAGTTAGATGGGGACACATGGGACATACATCATATACGTACCCATTTTAATTTTCTCTCTTCTCTTTTTTTTTTAATAATTTTTTTTACCATTTCCTCAATTGAGATTCTCACCATCCCCTTCATGCACCGACACTCATACATGCAACCACAATTGTTGATTATTCCCTTATTTATTTTGATTCATAAATAACATTTTTTCATCGACCAAAATGTTGATTTAGGTGTTTTTTTTAAAAACATCATTTGGAAAAAGAAAAATGTTATTTCGAAAGCATTAACAAAAAATATATAGCGATTTTCAATGCTACGAGGATTCATATGTAATATAAAATCGGTGTTGAGATTTGAGATATGTTCTGAATAATTATTTAAACATAGCCATGTGATAACATTTTTAAACTATTAAAGCTGATCGATGCACTAATATTAAACGGAATCTTTGTTTTTCAATCGTGATTTACAAAAAAAAAAGAAATTATTTAGAAGGTACAAAACTAGGAAAATTTATCTAATTTTCTTAGATAAAAGCACATGTTTAATTTAGTTCCACCATATTGCTATTTTGCAGGATTATATTTGTTGAACTTTATTCATTTGATCAGATTTTGTTCTTACTTTGATTTTCTTTTTCCCATGATTTTTTCTTCTTTTGTTGTTAGGACTTTGGATCTTTTGTTGTTGGGACTTTGGAGGGATTGAGTGGTTGACTAGGAAATGAAGACCGACTGGTGGGCCCATCCCGTTTTATATTATTCCGCAATAATTTTTCCATAGTCCCACAAAAAATAATTAGGGAGTAACTTTCTTGTTAAAAGGGTGGAATAATGTCTTGATTATATACTTCAATATTATAATTATATAAATATATGTACACTAATTAACACATGCATAGTTAATTTCTTACCTTTTAATGTTTGAATCGAAAAAATATACCGAGTACTCCATTCTGGACTAGTATTTGGTCCAAATCTAACATTCTTCCTTCTTTAGTTGTTCGATACATTTGTTTAATTAATTACTCCATATGTTTTAATCTTTCATATTGCCTTATTGTTTAGGTTGTTTTAAGACATTCTTATTAAATGGTTCATGTTGCTTTCAATTTTTATAATTTCGTGTTATGTCTGAAAGTCAATTATATATCCATCCCTTTGTATATTTTATCTCTAACTTCCGACAAAGACAAAGTAAGACAATTCGAATATGATCCATTTTGTCCAGTCTTGAAAATTGTGGGACAAAGTGGGGTTGACTTATGATCCGAACCGTTTGAACATAATGGGATAGGACGTAGGATAGTATGAAACCCGAAACGTCATGTCCCTGCCCACCCATACCGCAAAATTTCAGGGAATAACTTTTTTTAAAGGTGGAATGGAACATCCACCTCGGGACAGAAAAAGTATTAGAAACATATCACATTTACTCTCAATCATTCTGAAATTAAAATTTAATTGATCTTTTTTTTTAGTTTATTTTTCAAGTCAATTTTCAAGACATAAGATGGGTTCATTTTTTTTTATAATAAGATTAATAACAAAACAAACTTGTCCGAGTGAGGAGGCCTCATATACGCCGTATATTATTAAATTCGAAAAGTTAAATTTTAATGTAATGAAGATGGTGATGAGTGTATTTTAATTTAATTATATTATGGAATATGGAAGATGATCCCTATTTTGATTTTATGTCTCATCAATTTGATCTGAGATTGTTTTTTCCCCAATTTGCCAGCTCAATTACGTTGGATCGAGCTCCCGACAAAAATAAATAATTGTTCTAACGGAAATGATATTTGTATAACAAAAATTAATTATGCCCCACTTTGTATCGCGATTCGCAAAGTATACATCAACATTTTGTGCTAGTATGATATTGGTGTGATAATCTACAATGATACAAAATGTCGGTGTGAATTTTTCTGATTGAACTAACATTTTATACCATTGTAAATTGTTAAAATACTAGTGAATAAATTTTTCTGATTGAACTAATTTAATTTTTTATATTTGAACTAATGAATAAATTTTGATAATCAATTATATAAATATTACGTTTTACTCCCTCCGTCTCAAATTATTTGTCACATTTGCTTTTTCAACAGTCGCGAAAACTTTTATTTATGTCTACGTTTTCATTGGTTATTTGATAAAATAAAATATTCTTGACACTTCTTATTTCGAAGAACTTTTTTGATATATAATTTTTATTTTTTTATTTTCTTCACCAATATGTAAATAAAATGAATTGAAAAAACTTGATATTTTACCTCGGTAATAAAAATATGACAAATAATTTAGGACGGAGGGAGTATATCAATAACATAATTTCTTAAAATATTGTACTAGAGAGATATTTAATCAAATTAACTTTGTATTATCATATATAACATAATTTGTATTTAGTTGATAATCAAAATTCATCTAATTTGATTGTAAAAAATCAAATTGAACATATACACACTAGAACGAAAATAATATGTAACTTAAATAGTATGTAGCTTAAGAAAATTGTAGACAAAAAAGTTAAAAGTGTAGTGTTGAAATTTATTTAGAAGAGAAATTTTTGTTATAACATATTAATTTTTTTAAATAAAATAATTAAGACAAGTAAAAAGATTCTTTGTTACATTAAAAAGGAAAGTGGAAAATTGTTTATAAGATGAAGAGTATAAGGAGTGTTTCACTATGTTGACGCTTATCGATTTATTGTGGATAAATACTACGCAAAATTTAAATTATGAGCTAAATAAGTGACATTTCATAAAAGTAAAATGACTTACACGAGATAGATCATTCGAGATATTAATAGATATAAGTATGCAAGGCTATTTTTTCTAACTTGTAAGTACTTTATAATTATAGAAAGATACATCATCAATTGATTTATAAATAAAAAATCTCATAAATAATTTTAACTATTTTATTAGCGCAGAGAAACATCCACATACTTTGTAATTATGTATAGTATACTTGTGTTGATGCTCTAATTAAATGTGTCTGATTAATTTGTCAAATTTTTAATCGTATTTAAATGTTTTTAAATCACATGATACCAAATGGTTTTGGTGATACTAAAAACAGAAAAGGGAAATAAAATAGAATAAAAAACAAGAGTAGTGATTCCGTATACCTAAGATTCACACATAAATTTTGAAATTTCTCACAAAAGTTATTGGACTTATAAGCTAATGAGAAAAAAAAATTTCTTTCACCTAAGCTAATATGCTTAATCTTAATTTCTTAATCATAATCTAAATTTTTATCTTAATTCTAATCTTAATCTTATTTCTAATTCTAATCTTAATCCCAACATCCTGATCCTAATATTAATCCTAGACCCCCTAATCTCCTCATCCTAATTCTAATCTTAATCCAAACCTAATTTTAATCCCAATACAAATACTAAAAAAATACCAAAGAGTCCCCATATAATTAGGATTATATTCATGTTTTAAAGTGAATCGTAACCAACTTGCAGCGCCCACCCGGCCACCCCTACTTCCCGGATTTGCTGCGCCGCTCGCTCGCTCCCGCGCCTCCGACCGTCCGAAGTGACTTCGCCGCCCGTCCGCCCATCGGACCGACTCTCGTCGCTGCGTCTGTCATTCATCGCCTCTGCGTCTCTTCTTCAGGTATTTCAAATCCTCTCTTTAGGCATTCATCGCCTCTGACCAGTCTCTAGAATCATAGGCATAGTTTGTTTTAAAAAATAATTAATCTGGAGATCCCACAATAACTTGTCGAAATTGTGCATAACTGAGACTTCATATTGTTAAATACATGGTCCGGAATATATGCTAAAGTGCTTAGAATCCATTAATAGCCTCCAAAAGTTGGGAAGGTTTCGTATTACATTGATTGGTATGCCATAAAAGAAATAACCAGTAAAACATAGGGAAATTACCAAAATAAGAGTTCCATGTTTTATTGTTTTTGATTCGGAGTTCATATTGTGGTAATTTAATATTGTATCCGGTCATTATACTATACGTTTTGTTAATGTATATGGTCATGATTGGTAACGTAAATGCATTCTAATTCTTATTTTGGGAATAAAAACATAGAACTCTTATTTTGATATATTTTCAATTTTCAATATTTTACTCCTACTTTAGTCTTTTTCCCATTCCATAATGTAGATATATCTTTTATTTTCTTGTTAAGTTGTGTTTTCTTTACAGGAAAACTGCATATTACCTTCTGAATGCCGTCAACAAATGGAAAACTTATTGATTTGGTGCTCTAGATTCATGTTGATCTTTTTTTTCCTTTATGAAACTATGAGTCTCCCTCAACAAACAACAACAAACCTAGTGCACCTCACAAAAGCTGGCATATTAATAACCATAAGTTTAGGTTATGATGGTTGATCAATTTACTCATCCATTTACTCATTAATCATTATTACACTTTGTTGGGATTTTAAGTACGTAAGACTATTAAATTATCAAGAACGTGAAAAATAAATAAACACACTACACAAGAAGAAAATATGAGAGAAAAATTATATCTTCACTATTTCAGAACGATACACAAAAAACTCTCCATGTTTACAAGCGCTAAATATTAGACACTTATAAACAGACTTTTCACACCCTACACCCGGATGTATTTTCGAGTAACTGAATAATAGTTACTCCCTACACTCACTCTCACAATATTGGTGATATCTTGTAACACCTCTTAGCCGATTGTAAAACCCACACACAAATATAAGGAAAAACATTCCTCTTATAAGATTCATGATGTTCTATGATCTTAACTTGTTTTGTTACTTTTTATTTCTGCAAGAAATGGTAGAACAAGGTAATATAACGAGTTTAACTTCTGCATTATGGGAGCACTATTCTTCGGAGTCCATTAGAGGTCAAGGTAAAATTGCAGCTACTTGCAATTATTGTAAAGCCTGGTACATACGGCAAACAAACTGAAATTTAACTGAAATTCAAGCAAATGCGGCAAGCAAACTGAAATTACAATTTGTTTTCCGTATTCGTTAGAATTTCAGTTAAATTTAGACCAATGATTCCTTTGTTTATAGTTCTTTTTGCCATGTCCCTTTACATTGTGTCTGTCATCTTGAATTTTCTATCCTAAGGTTTCAGATGTTTCATTTGCAAAACATTCTCTAATTACATCTGGTCACATATTTGAATGAATGTTTACAAATGGTATGCAGGTAAGAGTGATATTGCCAAAGGAGTTGATAAATGTAACGATGATTGGAATGAGCCAAGAATGTGCAAGAAACTTGCTAGTCTCAATTTGGCGAATATCAATGAAATCAAAGAACCTTCAGCAGAAACGAAGCCTCCAAGTGCAGATTCAGTTCATTCAATTCTTCAAAGTTCAAGTGGAATAATGTCTCGAGAATCTTTGCGTCGGGTAAGAGAAGATATCTTATTTAATATTTGGTGGTGTGAATCAGTGCTTGAAACAGAACTGAACTTTATGGGTCCATTTAATTCCTTGAACCAAACATAACGGTAAAGAAAATAGAGAGGGGGATATAGGGGAAGTTCGATAGGAAAGAAAATGTGAATGGAAATAAAGCATTAGTTCAAAATCAATAAATTTATCTTCGATACACATTCAAAGTTCAAACTTGTTTTATTTATTTACATTATAAATTTATACCGAGTATATAATGCTAAAAAAAAATTAGCCATATTTATTTAAGATTTTAAAACATTATTTATATTTTGTCTTACTTACTGCTTTCTAAGGTAAAACCAAACCCAAGAATATTCCATTGGCAACTTTTTCTTACCCTAGAATTGTAAGAACCAAGAGAAGTTCAATGAGTTATTTTTGTTCAGTCCATTATTACCCAAAGCTAAAACATGTCAAAAGTGGTTTTGTAGCTCCATGGGAAATGGACGAGACTTCACCATAATCTTATCACTCTTCCTGGATGGCATAATAATAAAACAAGATTTCATCTAAACCTCAGAATGGATCTTCTATTTATGCAATGTGCAGCTCATTGAATCCCGCATTTCTGCTTTAAATCGAATTCTTCAGCTATCAAATACCTTGGATGTACTCCGTGCTAGAGTAAGTGTGTGGTACCAATACAATTAAATTCCTCACATTCTTCTCTTTAAAAAATTATTTGGCTTCGTTTGGTACACGGAATTCAAGCCATAAAATTGGAATCGGGGACTTCAATTCCAATTCTGCTGTTTGGTAACACAAAAATATGTGGATTTGGAATTGGTAATGCAAAAAATGAAATGGAATTGGAGAATTCAATTTCATCCAATTCAATTCCATGGAATTTCAATTCTAATTCTACCAATTCCGTGTACTAAAAGGGAGCCTTTGAACATTTAGTTCAATTACTCGTGAGTGTACATTACATGCATACTCCCTATGTCCCAAAACAAACTTCCCGGTTTGACTCTTGCATAGATTAAGAAAGTTGAGATTGTTTGGTTGAAAAAAGGAAATTGAAGTTTATTTTGGGACAACGAAAAAACGAAAGTGAAGTTTATTTTGGGACAGAGGGTGTATGAGTGTATCTTTTAAGACACATTTTCTGTTTCAAATGCATAGATGATTAGATATGGCTTGGATGAAGATGATCATGTTGGTGGTGGTGGTGGTGAAAGTGATGAAGATGAAGAGTATGGATCTGATGTTTCCATGGAAACCGAAGGTAATGCCGGGAACCAAGAACCAGTGATTTTGAGTGAAGCACTTATGAACTTGGAATCAGGTATGTTGGGAACCATAGAGTTCAGGGCCGGTTTTGAAATGTGAAAAATATGAAAAAGGTCATGTTTGGGAACATGTTCTAGGCCCTATATTTTGTTTTTGAGTAGTAATTAGAACAATGAAGGTAATCAAAGACTTAAGGTTTTGTAAGATGGTCTTGTTTGTTTCAAATAATTTGATGGTATTATAAATATGCATTTTTTTGTTGGTCTAAATTGTTTATAGTTTGGTTAGTATGTCTCATCTTGAACTCAGATGTCTTCATCTATGAACCAGATAATCCTCTTCCCAATGTATTCATCAAATAGCAATCATGTTCGGTAAAATAACATTTTTGCCACTAGTATATTTTATCCATTCTATTGGATTGCAAAAAAAGGAAGGCAATTACATGCATGAATGGAGATGCTCTAATATACCAAAAAGTTGTATTTTAGTACTCCATTCTTTCCAAAACTGTCGTCATGTTTCACTATTTACTGCTTAAATTTTTTCTTTTTTACTTACTTTCGTTAATCATTTGTTAGAATAACATAATCATGTCATTTCTATTTGATGTAATGTGTGTGTGTGTGTATCCCTTCTATCTAACAATAATGTTCTCGTTTATAATTTACATGGTCAAACTTTATTCATTTTGTTGGCGTATTTTCATTGCCCATTTGATAAAATAATATAGTCACGTCATTTCTAGTTTTGTAAATATTTTCATGTAGTTTTAAATATATAATCTTACTCCCTCCGTCCCAAAAAGAATGAGACGGTTTGACTTTTTGGGAAATTAAGGGATGAATATTTTAGTATTGACTTTTCAAAAATGCCCTTAATGTGATAGGTAAAAGTAGGATGTGATGGGTAGATTATTAGGAAAAAGATATGATGTGATAGGTCAACGAGAACATCATTGTTGGACAGAGGGGTATATATCTGTGTGTGAAATTTTTATGGTATTTTATTTTATTTACTATTATCTAAACTAAAATGGGAAGAGTATAACACGGCCGACACAGGAATGTGCAGATCACATCGCAATCGAGCAATAAAAATATTCCGTTAGTGCATCGCTTTTGAAAACAACAAAGAAATGAATGATAGAAGAGACCATTCTCTTGTGCTTTGTTGTTGTTAGCCATCCTCGGTGGACTTGTCACTTGCCTTTGTCTTTTTTTTTTACTTTCTTTTTTAGTACTTCGGTTCCAAAATTATTGTTTTAATTTGAGATCTTAAATCAGTTTAATTACAAGGAAAATCTTGCTATATCAAAATATATTTTTAAAATAGGTCCAAATTATTGTTTTAATTTGAGTTTTTAAATCAGTTTAATCACAAAGAAAAACTTGCTATGTCAAAATATATTTTTAAAATAAGTCCGAGTTCACTAATTTTTTTAATAAATAAATAAATATTTTTTAAAAAATATTCTCGCAAGAAAAAAATTAAAAAAAATTCGGGATATAATTGAAAGAGATTATGATCGATTCAAATCAGTACGAGATGAAGGTTAAATGAGGGGATTAGAAAGAGCAGTGATGGCAAACGGGGTTTAATAGAAGGGTAATACCCCGTCAAATATCTTTCTTTCTATTTGACTTTTTATTATTTTTAATTTAACATTTTGATCATTAATATTTTTCTATATATGTACCATATTTTAAAATTATAGTATCTCGAAATGAATCTATTAACATTAAATATATATTATAATTATATGTTTTTTTATGTCATTTAAGACGAATATGAAAACAGAAAAGTGACAATAAAAATATAAGACCAGTATGAAAACAGAAAAGTGTCGCATAACAAATTACAGTATAAAAATGTGGCTGCTGGGATTCGAGCCCAGGTCTCCACGGCCACAACGTGGAATTCTGACCACTAAACTACAGCCACTGTTGCTTTCTCCCTGTCTTTCCACTTAATAAGATTTGTATTACAAATTTAGAAAAAATGCTTTCTCGTTGCATAAATATATACTACGTATTTTGAGAAGAAAAGGAATACTGAAATACAATGAAAGTAGGTGGGGTTTGAAAGATGTTTGTCAACTTCTACTGCCATGGATAGTTATTGCTGCTTTGTCGTTGCTCTTGGAGATCTTCTTTGCTGTCTTTGGCGTTGACATCTAGACTTTAGTACTAGACACTTCTTTACAATTTTTTTTATTACCCTATGCTACCTTAGTCATTCTATTACTATGTTATTTTTTAATAGGACTTTATCTTCTATCTTTGTTTTATTTAAAGCGAGTTGGAGGAATGTTACATCCACCTAGACTCTCTTTTATTTAATAATACTGCATTTTATTTATATAAAAAATGTTTGTCAACCAAAGAAAAGGGTTGTTTTAATTCGGATTTTAAGAACCTTATTGTCTAGAACAAAGTAACTAATATGAAATTAATTATATGCTATGTGACTAACAAAAAAGATAGTTTGTGAGTGAAGTGAGTACATTGGAAAATATTTGAAACATCGTACGACCACTTGGCACTGTTTTTGAAATAACAAACATTGTTATTAGAAATGAGAAACTCCTCAAAATTAGAAATGAGTTCAATACTATGCAAGACTGAAATATACTTTTGGTTTAGGCAATAAATGGCTCATGGGTGACAAACCTAGAGTTGATTGGAATAAACCAAGCATTACTCTTTATTATGTGGTTGTTTTGGATACTAAGTATGTCCTATATGTAATGACCCTAGGGAGGATGTGAACCATTTTTTTTGTTGTTCATTCACCAAAACAGTGGCAAAGAGATGTCTACATGGACTAGATATATTTTTCGAAGGCTCTAATATGTTGGAGATTCCATTACGTAAGGATGAATTAACCTATATAGTATCAAAACATAATAAATTTTTCAATGTTGTATTATACATTTTAATTTGCCAAAATATTCTCAATTGTTCAAGTAAATTCTACCCTCACTAGACATTATTTAAAATAAATGTCTATCACTAGATATTGCTTCTCATTGGACATTATTCAAGTACTATTTAAAAAATAAAAACTTTTAGGTACTACATTAGAAAAGGACATACTTCCTCCGTTTGGGAAAACCCTTTCCCATTTTGATCAAAAGCCAAATCAAGAAAATATTAAATACTCCGTAGTAGTTAACTTCTAATTTTACTTTTGATGTGATAAATAAATTATTAGAAAAAGAGTATGATGTAACATGTAAAGTAAGAAAAATAGGGATATAAGTAGTTTTTTTTGATAAAAAATGGGAGTATTTCGTTGAAAATGAAAAAAATGAAAGAGGAAGGACTTCCCAAACGAGGAAGTATGTTTTAGTATTTAATGTGAATTTTACTTATATATGTAATTGTTTTTTGTTGCTACTTTGTGTGGAAGACCAGGAGCTGCACAATCTATAGTGGTCCATAATATAGTATGGGGAAAACCTCTTCCATTGAGTTTTATATCAAGTCTTTTCGCTAAAAAGAAGTTTGTTTGTAATCTATTGGCTGTGTTTAAGAACCCAATAAGAACTTTATAAGAACCCTTGGGCCCTTACAAGTTTTTTCCTTAAAAAAAACTCACGAATAGATTTATACAGCAAATCCTAATAATTAAAATCTTTAGTAATTTCTTTTCAATTACAAAAGCATCATTAAAAGTAATGCAGATATTTTTCTTGAAAAAAAAGTATATTACTGGAGAGTGGAGAGGGGAGAGGGAGCAGAGTTCCACTGCTGGGCAAAGTTTGAATCTTTTTCTAAAACTAATGGCAAATCTTGAAGAAACCCCAAATGAGAGAAAAACTCCATTTCTAAAGTCACTCACTCCATTAAAAGATTCTCACATCATTCGTCTGCTGCTTCGTTCTCCACTGCCAGTGCAACCCCGACTTCTGCTGGCCGAATGATTCGTTCATGTAATGTGTACCCCGACTGCAAATCGCACCATAAATGTTCGGTTAAACTAACTTTAAACTTTTAAAGGGATGCATAAAAACCAGACAGAACTTGCAGATTTGACGAACGAAGTTATAATGAATTAATGCAGTAGATAACAATGTAATGAAATGCATAAGCTGAGAGTGATATCTGACAGAGTTAACCATAGACTATAAACTATACCTTAAGGACAACTGCAACAGTGCCAGGCTTCTTGGAAGGGTCTGGCACTTGGAATACCGCATTATGCTTATTTGGATCAAACTCCTCATCCACGGGATCATATTTTTCAACTCCAAATTTCTTGAGCACCTGAAATTCAAAAATCATTAAGCCAGACTAAAAAACTATACAAGAAAAACAATATAATAGTTCTTGCATTATCATTATTTGCGATTGAGGGTAACTCACTCCAAAATGATTCTCAAGGTGTGGAATTGCACATTATAGAAAACACACACTATAATATCAATGTGTCATAGCATATCCCTAAACTGTGTTAGATCTAACTTAAACCCACCCCAACAAGAAATTTATGAGGTGAGGTTTAGTAAGCAGTAGTACATTGACACAGGGTAAACTGCCAATGTGGGATACTCAACAAATTTGAAATGAGATTATCAATGTTGGACGGAATAATTTTAAAAGAGATGGTATTTAAATCATATACAGAGCTAATACGATGAAGAAAATGTTAAAACTGGACACAGCTGTGCTTTGACACGTGTGTGGTTCTCATGAATTCATCTGCATAAGAAAGTGAGAGAAACAGAAAATACTTTCGGAACAAGGACTATCCCTTAAAAAGGATAGTATTATACCTCAGCCAGTTGCTTCTCAGTCATTTCAACACCTTCAAGTAGCGTTTTCAAAAGTTGCATGGAACCGGTAGTGTCACTAGAAGCATCAATCTTGGAATATCTTTCTTTTACAACTTTTGAAGCCCTACTCAAATTGTCTGCAACATCTAGAAGGCCTTTTGCGAAGTTCTATAGCATTGTTTGAGAATAAAAAAGAATTGTCAGAACCAGATACATTTCCAAATCTAAAATCTCAAGAAATGATGTACAGATGGCAAACCTGGATGGCAAACTTCTTGGAGTTCTCTGTTTCACGTCTATTTCTATCCATTGTGTTCTCCATATCAGCAAGGGTGCGAAGAACCTTGTCCTTCATTTGATCAACTTCTTTTTGTTTCCCCTTCAGTTTATCTTCCACCTCCAGCACGAGTTTCACCAGGTCATCCCTGGAAAGGTCCTCCAAATCTAAATCAGAATCAGAATCAGAAAATAGAGTCTGTTTAGTACTTCTCCTCCCCCTTTTAATGTTTTCAGATGTATTAGCATCGGAGGTTCCCATATCACCACCTGATTTGTTGGTGTCATCAGAAGATTCAGCATCATTATTCACACTTTTGCTAGAGTCAGATTCAGTTTTTTCCCCCTGTTCATTTCCTGCCTGGGCTGTCTCCTTTTCATCAGATTGTGGAGAGGCCGATGATGACATTCCAAACCATTGAGAGCCAGATCTACTAATGGCCGATTCACGCAGAAGAGAGATATGACCAGGAACAATCTAGATATACAAAATGCATAGAACATTCACTAATGAGTATTAAAACAATTAAAATTTTATGAAGCCAGCCAGAAGAATAAGCTGGTTAAGTATTGATCCTAAAAAAGAGGTTTATATGTGTCTGATAAGCTTTAAACATACTGGATGAAGTCAATCGTTATTTAAACTGCAACTTTATGCTTTTCTATAAATTGCATTCTTGAAGTTCTCGCCTGTGTCTAAAGTACAGACACTTCCAATTTCTCATCACCAAAGCAAGTGACAATAAGAGCGGCTAAAATATTAATTAACCATAAAAACAGACATATTTAGTCATATATTTCCCTAACTCTCTCATTAATGTCCAAGAGTGGAGTTCTTTTAAATGATATAAAAGTGCAGCAAACTTAAAGTAACTGGAAGCAAAACAGAAAAGATTTTACAGCAAAAATGAACAACAAAATCTGCAGATTAACACTTTCCGATTGAAACAAAACAGAAAAAATTACAGATTGTTCAGCAGGGGATCGTACAGAGAATTGAGGAAAACACATGGAATGGAATCGGTTCGAAAGGTTCGGGGCCTGGGGTTTCTGCTGCCGCGCAAATAAGACCAACGAGTTCCGGCACTGAACCAGAGCCGACTTTGAGAGCCGAGACGCGATTCTGCTGACCACCATGATTGAAGCTCGGAAAGATGGCGCCTGGGAGATTATCAATTTCTAGAAGAAGGCGATTATAGGGTTTAAGGAAGAAGAAGGAGGGTTTTAGGAATGTGGCGATGGATGTCGTCGGGTCACCCAGCTTGGGGAGGAAGCTAGAACAGAAAGGAAGCTTCTAAGAGTATGGGCCGGCAAGAATATGGCCCATCTTATTAGAGTTGTAAAACAGAATACAATTGTGGCCCAATTTGTTAACCGGGCTGCAAACTGTGGGTAATGATTAATTAAAAAGTTAGAGACATAATTTGGACTACAATCCACCATTATCTGTTTCGTAATTCGGCAACGTTATACAGAGTATATAATTTGTTTAGTACATAAGATAACAACATACCGCCCGCTGTAGCACTGGCTTAAGATTCTGGGTTAGAATTTGTTCCTGAGGACTCCGGGTTCAAAGCCCGGCAGCGGAATCTTTTTTCCTTTTTGTAACGCATAGAGAAAACAGAAAAGTTAGCTAAATATGGGTATTCTTTTTATGGTGCGTAATCAATACTTTGTCTCATGATTTTTTTACAATATAATTTACACTGTTTGAATGAATTTAGTTTCAAATCACATTAGTTAAATCTTAGTATGAAATATAAAAATAAAACTTAAAATCCACATCAAAATATTTGCAAACCACGAGACATAACTATGAAGTATACTATTTTATGAAATGATATCTAAAATATATAAAGAAAAAATAAATAATTCGACCGAGAGAGTATGATATTAAAATTATATAAGTGATTATTGAATGGGATGAAGTGAGTGATAGCAGTCGTTAAATAATTCGACGAAGAGAGTATGATATTAAAATTATATAAGTGATTATTGAATGGGATGGAGTGAGTGATAGCAGTCGTCATTTAAGGTCTTGTTTGAAAAAACATTTAAAATCAAATGTTTTCTTTCATTAATTTTCTCAAAACACTAAAGCTGTTATAAAATGAGTATTTTTTTGTTCATGCCCAATGAATACTTTGCCTCGTCAATTTTTACAATTTACATTGATTGTTGTTATTTTCAAATTATATTAATTAAAAATTGATATGAAATTTAGAAATAAAGTTAAAATACTTAAAAGTTACATTAAAAGATTTATAAAATACAAGACATTACTTCGCGATATACTCCATATTATTTTATCAAATGATATCCAAAAGAAGAGCAAAGTTAGATCCGTGGAGTTAATTACTATTCCATGATTTACCATTTAGAGGTCACTAGTCTCTTCACATTTTAAAACAGGTACTAGCATTCCATAATCCATAGCCTTTTAAGAACACCGTAATTAATTGTTACTCCTAATTAATCATGCAATCAAGTGCGGAGTAATTTTAATTTACAAGTAGTCCCTTCAACTCCCTCCATAGGTTACAGAATACATATGCCCACTATATATACAGAGTATATATGTATATCCATACGATATTAGAGCCAAAAAGAAGTTGGAGATTTTCATTTCATTGCTAAACAAAAGATATGAAGCTACTACTCCCACTCATACTAGCAGCAGCACTGCCGTGGGTTCTTTTAGCGGCGGCAGAGGGGCCGGCGATGACGGATGTGAATTGGGCCGCCACTGCAGGCTACGGAATTGCTGAAAGACTAGATGCCGGAGGTGGTGGTGCGGCGGGTCAGTGCTGGGCCGCGTTGGTGGAGCTGAAGGCGTGCACAAACGAGATCATACTTTTCTTCTTCAACGGGGAGGCGTATTTGGGGAAAGACTGTTGCAAGTCCATACGTACCATCATGTACGGCTGCTGGCCTTCCATGCTCACTTCCATTGGCTTCACCGCCGAGGAGGCCGACATCCTCCGCCACTACTGTGGCCCACCTGCACCCGTTCCCGGAGCACCACCGTCTGCTTCTTGAATGCCAAACTGCTGCCAGTGATCTGATGACACGAGTGTCTTTTTTATATTTTGAAATTGAAATCATTATTCACTCAGTAATTTGATCATTTTAGAATGAATAAACTTGCATCAGTTATATAAATGATCTCTACTGCTCTTATTTAGCATTTCATTTGATTTTAAGGCAGAATCACAAGTGTAATAAATTTGTTGCCAACTCCACCCCTCATATGGCTTATATCACACAAGAACTACTTCAATGTTTAAAAGAGGGAAAGAAAATAAAATTAAAGGCTAAACTTGTCATTTTCTAATAAGTGGAGTAAATTCAGCAAAATGGGTGTGGCTTCAGCACTGCCCTAATAAGTAATAATAAAACGGTCCTAGTTTTTTTATGGTGTATGTGATTTACACTAAAAACATACCTTTAATTAGCTAGCGGAGCATACACTTGACAAAAATGATCCATATAATGAGCAATGTAAACCAACTTGAAACAGACATTCTCTTCCATGATTAAGATCCACACCTTCAGTTTCTGCACTGGACTTCAATTCAGAGCTGTCAGCAACATGGACAGGTGGATCCAATACTGAGAACTCGGTGCTTCCAATCCATTTGAAGTCGATGGGGTCCTTGACTAGCTTCAAAAATGGGCCCTCCTCCGCGAGAATATGCCACACTTTTGGTATATAATCTGTGATGCAGTTCATGAACTGCTGGGTCATTTCTTGGAGTTCAAAGTTCAAATCTCGTTTGTGAAGCGTCGTGCATTTGTCACAACTTTGGCTTGAGAATGGGACATGTTCTGTAACAAGGCTTAGCAAGGCCTCGCCAGCAGCTGTCCAAAATGTAGCAGCAGAGACTATAAGAGAAGGCTCAAAGAGGAACAAATGGTGAGCTGAACCTGCGAGCAACAAGGAGTAGCCAGCACTGGCCTTGCTAAAACCGAGAGACTTGAGTCGGCACATATCATTCCCATGATTAGAAGGCAAAGGCTCACTTGCCAAGGCTTTATAGGCCGAGGCAAGAACAGTGTAGGCATTTAAAGAAAGATGGTGAAAGGGATGAAGCTTGAGCAAATGACATTTATCTTCTACAAGATGGCCATAAGTAAGCAAGTTCTCGAGCTTTGAAGAACATGATATGGGGTTGTTGGATGTCAGAAAATCGTCTACCGCATCATCGAACCATTCAACCAACTTCTCCATGGTAAAATCCCAATTAAACTTGCCACTAGTGGTCAAAGATGAACATTCAAGATTCTTAAAAGAAAGTTCCTGTACAACAAAGTAGATGAAACTTTAACACTTGATCACAAGACATATGTTTATTGTTACTAGAATGAAGATTGTGATTGGCCAGCTTCATTTGTTAACTTATTAGCCTTATTGGTCAGTTTTTCCTAAAACACGAAGTCGCTAACTACTGGCACGGTTGAATCACCTGATAAAAAAGGATATCATTTGGCTGAAATTGATACTCCTAGTATCAGTCTTTGTTTTTATTATTAGTTATATTAATACAAGTACATGTTAAATAATTCTTTTTAGATGAAGTCAATTCAACCATTTCAGCCACAATTTCAGCAGATTCAACCACTTAAACCATTTCAAAACTTACCAAAGGATTTCAACTGAGAGTGAAAAATGATTATGCTAATTTCATCACCTCCAAAATATGATCCACATATGTCTTAGCATTACATCTATCACAACAGCAACGGAATCGGTACTTTAACCACAGCTCAGATTGTCTCATCCCCTAGAAACACAATGAAATTCAAGTTCCACTTTAGAGGTAGGTGAATCTAAAATGAATGCCAAAAAAAACTGTCCAAACTCCAAAGAAGCATTAAATAAGGAAGTTATTAGCATGGATTATAGGGAATCACACCTTACTACCTTAGGCTGTAACAAGTCTGTGTAGGTTATAAGCACCTCTTCTCCTTTCTTGATATCCTTTATGCTGCGAACAATCAATCTCGGGCCACATTCTTCCCCAGTTCCTGCAAAAACAATACCCAAATTTGTCACCATCATCATCATCAAAATAAAGTTATGCTAGGAAATGGTTAGCATTCTCCTGAGACCGAAGTGCCAGTGAGTACTGAAAAAAAGGTTACCCGGTGATGATAAGAATTCGAGACTAGGGCGTGTGTTGATAGGTTCACTTCCATTTCCACCATCACCATCTGTGTACTTCGGATGCATACGCCAAGGCATAGCGGAGATGGTGCCAGGAATTGTTGAAGACCTGTAAGAACAATTGGGAGAGCAGCCATGGTTGATCCAAGAGAAGCTCTGACCATAAACAGCTACTCCAACGCTGCACCCTGCACTGTCCTGCACCTCCACGGCGTTAGTTAGCACCAAGCAAAGCACAGCCTCCTCTAAATTGCAGGCTCCAGCCAAAGGCGACTCCGAATTTAGTAGCATCCTCCTTGCAGCTGCCATAGCTCTGGCGCCTTCTTTGATTTTCTCAAACACCTCGTGGGCGACCGAATCCTCACGACTCTCCGGCATCATCAACAATTCCGCGCGATTGGTCACCAAACCTCCGATCCTGTCCAAAATGCCGTCGTTTTCTGAAACTAGTCCAAGAATTTGAAATCGGCTGAGGAGACGGAGGGAGAGGCAGAGGTCGGAGGTGTCGGGGATAGCAGAGGAGTGGCGGAGGAGGTGGAATTCGGCTGAAGAGAAGTGGATGGGAGAGTCGAGAGAGGAGCAGCGAGGGGAGCAGTAGCGAAGGAAGGAGGCAGGGACATGGTGAGTGGTAGAGAAGAAGGTTGGGGCGGGAGGGAGGAGGGAGAAGCAGGCGGAGCAGTGAGAGGACCGGCGGGAATCGTGGAGGGCGGCGGCGATGGGCGGGATCGGAGGAGTGATGTCTTGACCTATGGCTACGTCTTCCACTGCTCTCATCTCCATTTCCGTAGCTTCCGCTCCTTTCTTCCACTTGCTCTCATTTGTTCTTTTTGTGAAATTTGTTGAATAAGAACATAGAGTCATTTCAAACTGTTCGGAGTGCTGCTTAGAACAAACTGTTTATCCATCTTTGTCCTTTAATTTTTTAGATCCAATAAAATAGAACGGATTCAATTGTTCTATTTTGTCATTATCTAAAATTTGATATAAAAATATAAAATACATAAGAGCATTGATAATGGTCAGACAAAAATAAAATATCACACGGTGACATGAATTATTTCAACTAATAAAAAGTAATTCAGGTGACAAATGAGTAGAGTGTCGTAACATACAGTGGCAAGTCGTTGTTTTTATCTATTTTTGTACTTTTTAATGATTTTTAATTATAAAAAATTATTTTAAAAATCTATTTTATTATTAAAATATGTTTACTTCTTTTAAAAAATATTTTTTTCAAAAATTACAAATATTAAAAATATTTAAAAAATTAAAAAATGGGAAAATCATGTCTTGCACATTGAATGATAAATGAGGTGAAATGACCATGGAATGCCATGATTTGAGTGGAATTTATTGACATGACATGGCAAGGCAAGACATTGTCTTGCCATTGTGAATGCTCTAAGGAAAAGACAACTCACTTTGACTTGCATAGTAATGAAAAATGCTATATTTACTTAAAAGGATTTTAAAAGGCAAGAAACATGAAAAATGTTACAACATACGTTAAACGTCAAGACTATAAGCTTGTTTTTAACTAAGAGTTTGGATATTTTGGTGTTCTCGTCCTAGTTTATTTTTAAAAAATATTTGAATATGGATATTTTTTGCTTTTCTCAAACAGAAAGTATTGGACCGGGTGCGATTTGTACAAGAGGTAAAGTTGGGATTGCAACCCAAAAAGGGAGTATTTGACTCTCTTCGTCCCCTAGGCCCTATTCCGTTAAACTTATTTTTTCTGCTTTTTTCTTATTCTTATTAAAATCAGATTTAATCAGATTAGATCACATCAGATCAAATCATATCAGATTCAAAAAGATTAGATCAGATCCAATTGGATCACACCATATCAGACTATATCCAATCAAGAATTATTATTATTATTATTATTATTATTATGAATTATTATTATTATTATCATTAACAAAATCGTTATTACTCCATACTTTTAAAGTTCCAGACTTTTTAATTGTATCACTTAATACGATTCTTTCAAAAAATAAATTTAATTCCTCTTGAAAAAATATAAGAAGAAATAAAATGAAACTTTTGTGCGATTTTAATTTACGTAGAGAAAAATAAAATAATATGAAACACAACTTTTTTCTTAAAAATGAAAAAGAATAAACTTTAGAAACAAGTTAAATAGAAAAATGAGAAAGTAATCCTTAATTATTAGATGTCATAAAATTATTTTTAAAATACATTGACAATGTCAATCTAATTCTATTTTTAAAATACATTTTTATTGATACTTGTAATTTGAGTTTCTAAAGTTATTACATTATAAAATATGAATGAAAAAAATATTATTACATTATATTATTACAATATAATATGAATGATTATTGTAATATATGAATTAACTAATTTTGTTTAATTAAAAAATAATCATAAAACCAGATTAGATCATATCGGATCAGATCAAGTTCAATTAGATTAGATGAGACCTAATTACATCAGATCCAATCAGATTAGACCAGATCTGATCCAATCAAATCAAGTCAGATCAGAAATAGAGAAAATCAGATCAGATCGTCCTAGTTTATTTTTTAAAAGTATTCGAATATGAATATCTTTTGCTTTTCTCAAACAGAAAGTATTGGACAGGATGCGACTTATAGAAGAGGTAAAATTGGGATGGAAATCCAAACAAGGAGTTTTGGACTCTCTTCCTCCTCTAGTATATGTTTGGAGATTTATTTAAGAATTAACTCAGGGGTACACCAACATGTGATACCCTATATGTACATCAAGCCAACATAGACACAAACAGACACAAAATGTCTGTGTTATGTTGATGTACCGTAACATTGCCCTTTATTTAAAATTCAAAATTGAATTTCAAATAAATGAGCAAAACTTTTTGAAAAGAATTGTTTATTCTTCAATGACATAACTCTTGAATGTTTCTTTTGAATTTAAATTGGAAGCATTTAATTAAATGAGTGTGTCTTTTACAAAATAGACATGATCATTGCAAAGGGATATATCATTTTCTGTAAATAGGGCCCATGTCACAATGTAAAAAGAGTGGAAAAAATTATATTAGAAAAATGATTTATTATTAATTATTATTTCATTGATTATTTAGAATAATGAAGAAAATAATTATTTATTTCCAATGTTTATTCTATGTTGATGAAATATTAATTAGTGTACTTTTCTATGTTTTTCGTTCCCTTTGTCTCGAGACAAGTCTCGTTAAAGTACATAAGTAAATTGTTTCGTAGAGCAGCCAAACAATTTGGTATTCTTCACTGTATTCCAAAAATTCCATCTAGTAACCTTTTTTGCTTATAATATGGTAGATAAGAAACTTTTAAGAAAGCATTTCTAAGGATCACGCTTCTGTAAGACTAACTGGTTAATTTAACGAACCCTGTTCTGCATTACGTGTGGCTTAATCCCATTCATTGGGGTACGTAGGCAACTTTAAATGATTTATTTTTTTAAATGCAGTCACAATAATAAAATTATTTTTTATTGTTCCAACAGAGTCCATTTGATGACAACCATCTCTTCCTTCCCTGCATCCCAAGTCTGACATTCTGACTCATAATGATGCTTTGGTAGTCTTCATCTATGAAGAAGTTCTTGAGAACCTTGCAAGCGGAGACTCTAAGGCCCTGTTCCGTTCAATTTATTTTTTTATTTTTTCTTATTCTTATTAAAATCAGATCAAACCAGATCAGATCAGATCGAATCAGATCATATCAGAACAAATCAAATCAGATCAGATCCAATCAGATTAGATCAGACCAGATATAATTAGATCAGATCCAATCAGATTAGACCAGACCAGATCAGATCCCATAAAGGAATTATTATTGTTGTTGTTGTTGTTCTTATTATTATTATTATTATTATTCTTATTAAAAATGAAAAAAAATAAACTTTAGAAACAAGTTAAATAGAAAACTGAGAAATTAATCCTTAATTATTAGACGTTGAAAAAATTATTTTTAAAATACATTGACAATGTCAATCTAATTCTACTTTTAAAATACATTTTTATTGCTAACTGTAATTTGAGTTTCTAAAGTTTTGATCTTTTATAAGGATGAGATATTTTAATAAAAATACTATCTCTTTTCTGCATTGATTTTATATAAATTAAATATTTATTCTAATGTATGTATGAACTAATTATTAAAATATTAAATCAATATTCTTATTTCACAAACAATAATCATAAAATAAAAAATATTATTACATTAAAATATGAATGATTATTCTAATATATAAATTAACTAATTTTATTTTATTAAAAAAGAAATATAAAATAAAAAATATTATTATATTATAATATGAGTTATCATTACAATTTTCAAACGTTATTATAAACTCAAATCAAATTATTGATTTGGATTTTAAGTCAAATCATAATTAATCAGATCAGATCCAATAAGTTGAGATCAGATCAGATCCAATTAGGTCAGACCAGATCAGATCAGATCAGATCAGATCAGATCGAATCAGATTATATCAAATCAAATCAGATCATATCAGATCATATTAGATCCAATCAGATTAGATCAGACCAGACCAGATCAGATCAAAACTAAAAAAAATCAGATCAGATCAGATCAGAAAAATAAGTTGAACGGAACAGAGCCTAACAAAGGGTCAAAGAGCCTGCAAGTCCCAGCTTATCGAGGAAGTTTTTTACCACCTGGTAAGGAGGTCTATAGTGGAATGTTCGAACTAACGCACAATTTGAAAAACGGTGAGATTTAAGGTATGTGTAATTTTGATTAAAGGTTGACATTGTTAACTTATTTTACTTGAAAATAGGCATCATCTTCATCTAGCGCGAATTTTGTGTCAATGACTCAGCAGTTTTAAACAACACATCTATGGCGTGTATTTTCTCCGCAGCCTCTCTACTACAGGTTAGTCCGTGGGGTTCAGCTCCTCAAGTCTTGTCCTGATTTTGCGTTAACATTTGAGTCGTCTATAGCGGCAAGCTAAGAGATCTAAATTAAACACATTGTTTCCATTACAATGTAAAAATACAGAAGGGTTCGAACGTTATTGTGTATCACATAGAAATGTAGGAAAAATATGAATCGACAAGAAAGAGTACGAATTGCGAAAACATGCAATTTTCAAAGTAAAATTATTGTGGTGATATTCCCAAAAAATCAAGTAGTACGTAACAAATTTTCTATTTGAACCATATCATAGGACCTTCGTATATATAGAAAAAAAATCTGATAATGCATAACTGTTGGAGTGAACAAACATAAGTCTCTTGGTAGTATACAAATGTTATAAGCTTTATTCTAACTTTAATTTTGTTCTTGTGTCCGAAAATACCCAAATTTTATAATGAGAATTTTAAGTTACCCAAGGATAGAGCATCCAATATCCAGAAGCATTTGAATGTCATTTGAATGCTCATTATAACATTCCATTGCTAAGAAACTTTTCGTAAAAGTCGCTAGTGGTTGGTGTAGTATTTGAGTCTTAAAATCAAACCTTTTTATAAACATAGATGAAACTCATTCGACCAACTTCGTACCTCTTCGAGGAATGAGGAACGAAGTCGTCCCATGACCAACGGGAGAGGAAATGAGTGTACTACATCATAAAGCTAAGAGTATGAAATAATTCATTTATCATGTCTAAATTGTTGGTGATTTTTGATCTCATGCGTATGTTAGATAACTGAATTTATTTAAAATGAGGCAAAATTTTTAGTCAACGGTGACAAAGAGTTAGAAGGTGTGAATCAAAGCTATAAGCTTGTTCAAAGATATTACAAGTTTATTAGCACAATATGGGGGCGACAGTTACCGCTGGCATGCTCCAAGGGGTAGATCCTCTTGTTGGGGTCGACAAATATTATATTGTTTGTGAAAATTTATATTATTTTTAGAGTAAATTTTATAATTGGTCCTTTATTATAAGGGGGTTTCCCTATTTAGTCTTGTATTATAAAATATTACCTAGTGATCCTTCTTTTATGGGTATCTTTCTTTAAATAGTTCTTTTTTGATCTTTTATTATGTTGGTATTAATTTGAGAGCTAAAAATGTAATTTCACAATGATAATATTTTTTTTGTCATACATAATTCCAAAGGCTGTTCCGTTTGCGTCGTTTGTAAATTACTGTCGCTTTTACTACAACCATAGTCTACAAATATAGTCTTTCGTCAGAATCCTAGCCCACAGTCATAGTCATTATTTTTGTGCTATCCGCTTAACTAATATCAGAACACGTCACTAGACATAATGTTGATGCCAAATTATACTTTTAGCCTTTAAATTAACACCAACACGGCAGAAGATCAAAAAAAGACCATTTGTGGAAAGGTACCATTAAAAAAAGACTGCATGAGTAATATTTGAAAATAGAGGATTAAATATGGAAATTTTCTTGTTATAAAGGACCAATTATAGAATTGACTCTTGTGTTTTATAAAATGTCCAAATATTTATGCTAATAAATTTAGTACTCCGTATTTAAATACTAGGGTGTAACTTCCAATGATTTTTGGCAAAAAAAATGGAGTAGCATTCGAATGCTCATTATAGCATTTAAATGTTTTCGCACAGGAGCACAATTGAAGTCGGAAAAAGTTTATAACATTTGCATACTACCGAGAGAGTTATCTTTGTTCGCTCCAACAATTATGTATTGTCAACTTTTTATATGATTTTGGTTCTTATGACATTGGTTGTCATGACCTTAAGAACCAATTTCATGAGATAACCCGAAGGTGTTCAACAGGGCCGGCTAGAAAGGAGGGCAGAATGGTCAGTGGGACAGGGTCCATTTTATATACACTTTGTATAGTACTAGCATCGTACCCGTGCGATGCACGGAGAGCATTTCATTATTATAAATGACATTAATTAAACTTGGCAACAATGCTCTCGTGCAATGTGTCCATGTGCAAGCAACTCTTGTCAATCATTCATTACTCATTACTCCCTCCGTCCTATAATGATCTTCCCAGAACACTATTCCAACTTCACGGGAATTTATATTTATTTGTGTTTTTTCATGGCCTATATGATAAAATAAAATATTTTTGTCACCACTTGTTTTGTTGAACTTTTGGTGTAGTTTTTAAATATGCATGTTTTATTTTTTATTTCTATACCAATATTTAAATAAAATAGATTGAAAAAACTTGGGATTTTTCTTCGTTTTGCGAACCGGGAAGATCATTATAGGACGGAGGGAGTATATGATAAGTTGATGATTTAATTAAAACAATCACTTATCTTCTGTATCGTTATATTCAAAAAATAATACATATCGTATTGCTCTTATTCGATTGAAGTCCTCTTGCCGTGTATCGAAAATATTAAGTTGTGCAAAAGATGGACGAACTCCATGATTAGGTAGTAGACCCCCAATCATGTGATAGGTTTGGCCGCCTATTTTGAATATTGGGGTAGCTCTTCCGTTATTTTCATCTCTTTTGAGTCGTGCACCAAATGAAGTGAAGGAAAACATACAATTATATGATCGAATATTTTTCTCAAAGTGTTTGTTTTCATTAGTATGCAAAATTCCATTTTAGATAAAAATAATATAGGTAACAGATAATTATTAATAATCCTAATATTCATTTATTTGCAAAAAACAAGTATTTTTCTTAAAATTTTGTTAAGTGGCCATTGGTAACGGCAATCCAAATCTCACACATGTGAAAATGTAAGATAATATCCGGTGAGAATAAAAAGTGAGATTATTTTGGTAATAACACGAAAAATGTAGAATTATTTGAGATAATTTTTACTTATTTTATTAGACAAACTTGATAAAATTTGACATAAAAAAATTAATCCAATTAATAATTAGTTTAGTAGACTTATTGTATCAAATATTGTCAAAATATGTTTGATATAATTAATACACAATTCTTCAACTTTTTCAAAAGAGGTAATTCTATTTAAAGCCTAGCAAACCGGCCCAAATGGAAAGAGGGATATGCTAGGGGCCCAAATGTACACCACTTGCTTTTAAACCATTCATTTTATTTTCTTTTTATTTTCTACTTTTAAAGAAATCGTATATAGTAGTCTTTCCTCCCATTAACTAAACCCTACCTCTCACTTCACATTTCCGCGGCTTCTTCTTCGTCTCATTCTCTGCATCGCTTCTTCTTCCCATTCTCGCGACAAATGCATCTCTTTCTACGTACGGAATTAGGGATCTAATGCTAATACCCAAACGGCCAAACCAGCAGTCCATCTATTCATCCACACATCTCCGGATCTGGCGATAGCCGATTAGCTTCTTCGATCCTTACAGTCGATCGGTAGCCTCTCCCTCTCTGGACGGACCGACGGACTTCCGACCTCAGCAAAAAGAAGCCACCACAGCAACTTCTAGGGGGTAAAGATACAACCAAAATCAATAAAGATTAGAAGGTCAATCGCCCAATCCCACTTAAATCAGGTTTTTTTTCTTTATTTATTTTTTAGAAGTTAGAAATTACTCTGCTAGTTTATTTTATCAATTTCGTAATGATCATGATTTTAGAGTATTTCTTTTAAAATTTTAGTTTACTCTAAGAATTTTAGAGCAAAAGAGTAAATAAAGTAATAAACAATGTTAATTTTTTAAAGTAAATAATTATTAATTTTAATTAACAAAAATAAATAGTTCTCAGTTCTAAAATTTCATAAACTAGATTATATGAGTTCAAGTTGATTTATGATTTTCAAATGAAATTAATTAAATTATAGTTATCATTTATCAGGTTTAAGTTCACTAATTTAAATTTTTGTGTGTTGATTTGGTTACTTGAAGTTTTGGACTTTGAAGGTTAGACTCTAATTCGGTCATTATGCCTAAAAAACATCTCTCTGGTAGTCAAAAGCGTAAAAAAAGAAAAAGAGATTAAGGAAATGAGAAAGTCTCAAATGGGTGCTATGGATAAGTTCTTGTATAAACCTGTTGTTGAATAGAATGATGAATGGATAAGTTTTATATTATGACACGATGGACCATTCTCTGTGTGTCGTCCAGGGCTCTTAATTTCTCGGAGACGACCCTGGTGCTCAAGTGTCCCGTTCGTAAAATTGATCGTTTATATTCCCTCCTAACTCCCTGATAAACCCCCTCACCCTGCTCCAACCCGAACATGCCCCCCACCCACTTCAATTGCACCCTGCTCCTTGTTCATATACATCTTAATCGATTGAAGTATTTTGAAAATATCACTAAAATAACTTTAATTTTAAATTTTTTATGCAATTGATAGTCTTTCTTGTTGGTCCATATTCTTCCTACATTCTGAAATGATACCCCCTTCGTCCTGAAATATTTATCCATTTTTTATTTTTTTGGTCAAAATTAGTAAATTTTGACCTCAAATAAAAAAAATGATATTAAGTATTGATACAAAAATAGTTTCATTAGATTTATTATATTAAATATTTTCAAAATATTATTTTATCTAATTCATATATAATATGTATAAGTTTAAAAATAATTGATCGAAAAAAGTCAAAACTGGACAAAGCTTTGTCGGAGGTTAGAATCGGAAGTCTCCGGAGGAGAAGGTTTGGAAGCCCTATATTATTTCTCTCTCTCTCTTTTAATTTCCTCCCTTAGAGCATCTCCAAGGGAGAGGCTAAAAATGGGAAGCTAAACTTTGCTTTTACACTATCTACAGTTGTTTAGAATTTTATTTTTGTTGACAAACTCCAACCACATCTTCTAATTTTGCTATTCTCTCTTTCATCTTTATTTCCGTGCACTCTGTTGCCCCTATAGGCCCCAAAAATCTCTACAGATCTAGCAATAAACAACTCCCTTTTCATTATTTTATTCAAATTTATTTTTTAGCCTTTCTACAGTAACTTCTATAAATGGAGGGTGTAAAAGTATATATAGATGATGCTCTAAATTTTGGAAGCTCCGTTGGAGTACCAAAAACACTACAGTATAAGCTATAAAATTCATTTTTAATAATATGGCTGATCCATTGGAGATGCCCTTAAAGTTAAGAGACGTTTTAAACTCTTTTATTTCTCTCTCTTAACTTCTTAAAGCTTTGCCGGAGCTTAGGATCGAAGGTCGTCGAAAGAAAAGGTTTGCAAGCCCCTTATTATTTCTTTCTCTTTCTTTCTCTCTCTTTTAATTTCCTCCCTTAAAGTTAAGAGTCATTTTAGACCCTTTTATTTCTCTCTCTTAACTTTTAAATCTTTGCCGGACAGAGGTTAGGAACGGAGGTCGCTGGAGGAGAAGGTTTGCAAGCCGTGTATATTTTCTCTCTTTTAATTTCCTCCTATAAAAGACGTTTTAGACCCTTTTATTTCTCTCTTAACTTCTTAAAGCTTTGCCGGAGGTTAGGATTGGAGGTCGCCGAAGAGAAGGTTTGCAAGCTCTGTATTTTTTTCTCTCTCTTTTAATTTCCTCCTATAAGAGACGTTTTAGACCCTTTTATTTCTCTCCTAACTTCTTAAAGCTTTGCCGGAGATTACGATTGGAGGTCGCCGAAGGAGAAGGTTTGCAAGCTTTGTATTATTTCTAGCTCTCTCTCTCTCTCTTAATTTCCTCCTCAAAGTTAAGAGACGTTTTAGACTCTTTTATTTTTCTCTTTTAACTGATTAAAGCTTTCTCGGAGGTTAGGATCGGAGATCGCCGGAAGAGAAGTTTTCCAAGCCCTGTATTATTTCTCTCTCTTAATTTCCTCTCTTAAAATTAAGAGATGTTTTAGACCCCTTTATTCATCTCTCTTAACTTCTTAAAGCTTTGCCGGATAGAGGTTAGGATCGTAGGTCGCCGGAGAAAAATGTTCGCAAGCCTTGTATTATTTCTCTTTCTTTCTTAAAGCTTTCTACTATTATCGGCGGCTAGAAGGTCGCTGGAGGTCGCCGGAGAAGGTTTGCAAGCACAACTATGTACCTTTGCAACTTTTTTTGGTCAATTTCAAGATTTTTTATGGCATCTATAGAAGTTTTATTTCTTTGTAACCCCTTTTTGTTGTTGCATTTCAGACCTTCTCTCTATTAGCTTTGGATACGCGTGTGTTCAGCCGTCACGTGGTCGCCAGAGCCAAAGAAATAGGTAGCCACGCTCTCCGGCTCCGGCGACCACGTGACGGCTGAACACACGCGTATCCAAAGCTAACAGAGAGAAGGTCAATAACAAAAAGTGTAAAAGAGAAATAAAACTTCTGTGGATGCCATGAAAAATCTTGAAATCGACCGAAAAAGGTTGCAAAAGTACTTATCTGTGCTTGCAAACCTTCTCCGGCGACCTTCGGTGACCTCCTTGCCGCCGATAATAGTAGAAAGTTTTAAGAGAAAAAGAGAGAAATAATACAAGCTTACAAACCTTCTCCTTTGGCGACCTTCGATCCTAACCTCCAGCAAAGCATTAAGAAGTTAAGAGAGAAATAAAAGGGTCTAAAACGTCTCTTAACTTTGAGGGAGGAAATTAAAAGAGAGATAAACAATACAGGCCTTGCAAAGCTTCTCCTCTAGGAACATCCGATTCTAACCTCCGTCCGGAAATGCTTTAAGAAGTTAAGAGAGAGAAATAAAAGGGTCTAAAACGTCTCTTAACTTTGAGGGAGGAAATTAAGAGAGAGAGAAATAATACACGGCTAGCAAACCTTCTCCTTCGGCGACCTCCAATCGTAATCTCCGGCAAAGCTTTAAGAAGTTAGGAGAGAAATAAAAGGGTCTAAAACGTCTCTTATAGGAGGAAATTAAAAGAGAGAAAAAGATACAGAGCTTGCAAACCTTCTCTTCGGCGACCTCCGGCAAAGCTTTAAGAAGTTAAGAGAGAAATAAAAGGGTCTAAAACGTCTTTTATAGGAGGAAATTAAAAGAGAGAAAAAATACACAGCTTGCAAAAGATGAAATATGAAGAACAGAAAGTTGAAATAAAATATGGAGTTAAAGAAAAAGACTATTTTTTATATTTTTATTTCTTTTCATTACTTTTTTAATTGTTATTACTTTTTACTTTGTACATAATATTTTATTTTTCATTTTTTTGTAACATTCTCCAAAAAATATTTTGTTTTCAAAAGTACATTATGAAAAATTCTAATTTGAGATGGGAAGCATAATGTAGTTTTTTATATGGATTATGGACGGTGGGGCATGTGTGCTCTATTTAGAAACCACAAGGACTTTACAAATAACTTTTGAAAACAGGGGGGGTTTTGACGCCCTTTTTGTGTAGTTTTTTATATGGATTATGGACGGTGGAGTTTGTTTATTCAAGGTGCATAAGCATGCCCCTCTCTGAATACATTTCTGAAGATGAAGGTTTTAACTTTTGTAGAAGTCTGAATCATTATTAGGAGGCCATCACTTTTTTTTAATATGAAAATATGCAAATGCTTCACTGTCATTCGTGATCTGTCCTGCAATCCTTTCTAGTCTAGTGTGGTCTAGGTTGAATCTTTCCAACCCAACCCATTGGCAAGTTTGAGATTGTATGGGGGTGTGTGTTTGTAGAAATAAAATTATGAGTACTGCAAATTGAATTTTATTTTAAGACAAATACTTGATTTTTTTTCCTGAAACAACTGAATAATGTTGAAAACCAGGTGAGGTTCAGCTTGATACTTGACCATGTTGATCCCAGTGGAATGTGGAAGAATTGCAAGAGGGGTTTAGCAACATGCCAACCTCATTAGCTCAACACCATACAAGGGAAGGTGCCCGATGCAATTACAGTTTTTTTTATTTTTTTTAGAAAATTAGAACACCAAAGGCATCAGTTGTAGCTAAACAATTGATGCCAATACCTCCTTTTTATTAATATTCAAAAAACAAGTATAGCAAAGACATTGATTGTTTAGAAACAACCGATGCTAATACTCTTTTTTTAATTAATAAAATAGCAAAGGCATTGGTTGTTTAGAAACAACCGATGCTAATACTCTTTTTTTAATTAATAAATAGCAAAGGCATTAGTTGTTTAGAAACAACTGATGCTAATACTCTTTTTTAATTAATAAAGTAGAAAAGGCATCAGTTGTGTCAAAGCGATGCAATTGAATTGGACCAATTGCATCGCTTGTATTTGCATCGGTACAAAACCGATGCTTAAAGTACAAAATAACCAATGCCTTTGCCCTGGTATGTACTAGTAATGAAAAGTGAATATGAAATTGTTTTATTAAATGAAGTAAACAAAGTAAGTATTAGTTATAAATTCAAACTTATAAAAGTGGAGATGACAAATGTACAGTAAAATAATACCTTTGAATGTATTATTAAAAACACTTTTATAGTATTATGTTATCTAGTTTTCCTATGTTAATTGGTATTACTCTGCGAATATTGTATTAAAATTCAAAGTCCACTAATTTAGACACTATTAGTGTCGATTTACACGTGACGATTACATTATATTATTTTAAACTTTATTGCTTCTTTTTGCATAGTGTAGGTATCAAACAGAAATGGAATTGGAGAAGAACCTGGAGCCGCAGCCGCATCAGACAAAAATGGAAACAGAGAAGAATCTGGAGGCGCATCAGACACAATTGGAATCGGAGAAGAATCTGGAGGCAAATGAGGTAACTTAAAACTCTCTTCTAACTTAAAATATGTATGCATATGTACCCGTATAGTCGAATGTTTAATATGCATATGAAATCATATTTTATAATAATCTTAAAACTGTAAGATGTTACCATAAATGAACTTGTTTCGCACACGGATCCAATTCCTTCAAATACTCATGCTTTCGATCGTGTAATTTCTTATCGGAATTGATAATTGAATTTGTTACTCGCATGCATCGATGTGATTCCTCTAGATACTCATACTTTTGATCGTATAAGATGTTACCGATACAAGCAAGTGAACTTGTTACTCGCACAGATCCAATTCATCCGGATTATCATACTTTTGACCGTATAAGATGTTTCCGATACTGATGAAGACTGAACTTGTTAACGGATCTAATTACAATGGATACTAATACTTTTGACTATATAAGATGTCACTAATACTAATAACTGAACTTCTTTTAGCATGGATCCAATTCCTGCAAATACTCATTCTTTTGAGGGTATATGATGTTTCTGATACTTTAAAGTTATAACTGAACTTGTTTCTCGCGCGTTTCTGACTCTTGTATATATATACTAGTACTTTTGACAATATAAGATGTCACCAATACTGATAATTAAAACTTATACGTTAGTCGTATATTACTAACAAGTTTTTTAATCATATAAATTATAATTTTATCTTTTTTCAACTCCACGTAAAATCAAACTGTGAAAATTATTTTGAGACAAATTAAAACAGTATATGTTTTTACACTATTAAAAAAATTGACTAGCCAGTGTATCCTCTGTAACGTGGGCATCGATCCCCTGTCCTCGATGATGGAAGGCTCGGACAAAACTTTTTTCTTAGTTTTGTTATGTTGGAATTTTTTAGAAGCTACAAATAAAAAGTGAGGAGTTAGAGCATCACTGGGTGAGTTATATCCGATATTTATTCTCTTTCAAGTATCAGGTGCCCCTACAGTTGCAGCAGGGTGCAGGATTTGCCTATCTACGCCCGTTCGTCCAAGTTCCTCTCTATGTCCTTCAGTCGTTGCCGCCTCCGGTGTTTGGCTACTTTCCGTTCTACTTCTTGCAGGCTCCACAGCCATTTTCACCCTACTATGTGACGGATTGGGGCAACACGTGTTCCAAGCTGGCCTGCGGCCCCAGCCCGTGCCGAGCTTGCAGCCCCCGCCCATGTTGAGCTTGCCGCAATATGTGTTTCGACAAAAACCATCCGGACTGGCTGAGCCCCACATTGTTGGCTGCTTCATGTAGCCTGAGTCTTTGACTCTAGCAACATATGCACTTACTCTCACGATAAGCGTGATTTAAAGTTTAATGTAGTATTCTTAATAATTGGTTTTATATTACTATGAGTACACAATTGTTTTATAAACAAGATAAATGAATCATTTAATATTCATGTTCGAGCGTATTTGTTGAGTTTGTCTTTTTCGAGTCAAACTGGATAAACTTTAAATTTAGATTAAATACATCTTTAATATATTTTAACATTAAAATGAATTTATTAAATTTATCATATTGAGCACTTTCAAAATTATATTTCATTATACTTATACGTAATATAAATTGAAAGTAATATACCCTTACTGAGACAGAGATAGTATAATATACTAAATTTAAGTTTTAGAAATACATTTTAATTATCTTTTATGTGATAAATTGTTTTGCAGAACATGAAAGCGTTTGATGCACAATATGGCATAAAGGCTAGTATCAAGACTATGTTGGGCGACCTGGACCAGTGTAAAATACATTGGTTCTGGTTCAAGCACAATGCACCAGCTGGGGGAGAAATCACATTCGATCTTGAGGTATCAAAATCTTTAATTTTTATTTTGATTTTTTTTGCTAAAAAACAGTACCTAAATGAGGGAATCAGATTAACTTATAATCCAACATACGGAGTACTCCATATATAATAAGGCAAATAATTTCTAGAGTGTAAACAAGTTATTGGCACCTCACATCTACTTATTTCTTTTCAAATTGACAATATAATAATATTTTTTTTCAATTGAATTATGAGAGCTGGAAAATTCAATTGAAAATAATATTATTATATTGTCCATTTTAAAAGAATTAAGTAAATGTGAGGTGCCAATAACTTGTTTAGACTCTAAAGATTATTTGGTTTATTATATCTGGAGTACTATGTATGTTGGATTTTAATTTAATCTGATTCCCTCATTCAGGTACTATTTTTTAGCAACAAAAATCAAAGTAAAAATTAAAGATTTTGATACTCCAGGATCGAATGTGATTACTCTCCCAGCTGGTGCATTGTGCTTGAACACGAACCAATGTATTTTATATTGGTACAGGTTGCCTAGTCTAGTCTTGATACTAGCCTTTATGCCATATTGTGCATCAAACGCTTTCATGTTCTGCAAAACAATGTATCACATGAAAGGTTAATTAAAATGTACTTCTAAAACTTAAATGTAGTATATTATACTACCTCTTTCCAGCAAGGGTATATTACTTTCAGTTTATATTACGTATTAATATAATGAAATATAATTTTGAAAGTATTTAATATGATAAATTCATTTTAATGTTAAAATACATTACAAATGTATTTAATTTAACCTCAAAGTTTATCCAGTTTGACTTGAAAAAGACAAATTGGACAAATACGCTCGGGTATGAATATTAAATGATTTATTTAGCTTGTTTATAAAAGAATTGCGTTTTGCGTACTCATAGTAATATAAAAACAATTATTAAGAATAATGCATTAAATTTTAAATCACGCTTATCGTGAGTGTAAGTGCATATGTTGCCGAAGTCAAAGAATCCGGCAATATAAGGCCGCCAACAACATGGGGTTCAGCCGATCTCGGTGGTGTCTGTCTGTCGAAACACATATAGCGGCAAGCTCTATGGGCGGGGGATGCAAGCTCAGAATGGGCTGGGACCGCAAGCAAGCTGGGAACGCGTATGGCCCCAACCCGTCACATAGTAGAGTGAAAATGGCTGTGGAGCGTGCAGGAAGTAGTACGGCAAGTTGCCAAAAGGCGGCGATGGCTGAAGGACATAGAGACGAACAGGCGTGGATAGGCGAACCCTGCATCTGTGGGTGCACTTGATACTCGGGTTGCAGTGGAGCCTATGTGGGCGGCTCTCGAGTCAAGGCGGCCGTAGAAAACGGTGTCTACTTTCAAAATAAAATAAGTAATTGCGAATAAACTTATGGTCAAGTTACTAAGAATAACATGTGTGTCTTGATATCCAACTAATGTTTTTTTCTTAAACCTACTATGAAATAAAATATGTGCAATTATAGTCCAAATGTGTAGATTGATAGTCCAAACCGACACTTCAAGTCTTCCATCATTGAGGTCAAGGGGTCGATGCCCACCCTACAGAGGATATTGGCCCAGTTAACTTTTTTAATAGAGTGTAAAACATATACTCTTTTAATTTGTTTCAAATAATTTTCACAATTTGATTTTACGTGAAATTTAAAAAAGACAAAATGATAATTTGTATGATTAAAACTGTCTAGTTAGTAATATACGACTGATGTATAAGTTTTAATTATCAGTACTGGTGACATCTTAAATGGTCAAAAGTACTACTCCCTCCGTCCAAGTTGAAACTTCTCGTTTTCACTTGGCACGGGTTTTAATGTAAAGTGGAAAAGGAGATGAGTTCCCTATTTTGCCCTTCATGGCGTCACTTTTTAGAAAGCAAATCAAAAGAATAAAGTGCATAGAGCTCAATAGTGACAAAGTACAAAAGTTTATATTTTTTTTCCAATTCAATCATTACATACACATATTCATGTACATACAACCCCATACGCATGATTCACATCTACAAAAGTGAAAGAATATTTCCCTCCAAAACACCCAAAACACATTAAAAGAATTAAAACATGGAGGGAAAATGTGCTACACATATAATCCTTCCAAAATTGCAACACATGCTCAGTCTTCTTATTCTTCCTTTCCTTTTCTTCTTCCAATTCTTCCTTTCTTTCCTTTTTTTCTTATTCTCTCTTTTTTCCGTTAAAAAATTGCAACCTTTCTTCTACCACATGTCCCTGCAAACAGAAAACCACATGTCCCTGCAAACAGAAAATGGTGGTGAAGAAATCCAGGTAAAAGAAAACACAGATTGAGCAATAATGAAAGACAAAATATCATTGATGCAATTGCAGCTGATTTCAACATTTCAAGGAGGACAGTAAGCTTTTTGTGGAGACAAGCAAGAACTCAATTGGAGGAAAGGCGTGCCATTGATGTCAAGAGCAAGATGGCAGGTAATCCTGGTAGGAAAAGAATTCATGTAGACCTTAATGCAATATGTGACATTCCATTAAGGCAAAGAACAAACATCAGATCTCTTGCCATAGCATTAGGTGTACCTAAGTCAACAGTACACCATTGGATTCAAAGAGGTTTGTTCAGATGTCACACCAATGCAATTAAACCCTTGTTAACTGATGCAAACAAGCATGCAAGGCTTCTTTTCTGTTACAAACAACTAGAACCCTCAAGTATCCCCTCTAATCCTAGATTTAAGACCTTTTATAATGTTGTTCATATTGATGAAAAATGGTTTTTCATGTCGAAGACAACTCAGAGGGTTTATTTGGGGTTAGAGGAAGATGATCCTTATAGAACTTGTAAATCTAAGGTTTATAACTAAAGTGATGTTCTTGGGGGTTGTAGCAAGACCCATTCTTTCCCAAGAAGGGCAGGTACTATGGGATGGGAAACTAGGAATCTTTCCATTTATAGAAACTGTGCCTGCCAAAAGAAAGAGCAAAAACCGGGCTGCAGGGGTGTTGGAGATTAAACCAATTCATAGTGTTACCAAACAAGTTTTTAAAGACATGTTAATCCATAAAGTCATACCCACCATCCAAGAAAAGTGGCCAGCAATGCTAGGGAAGAACATCATCATCCAACAAGACAATGCAAGGCCACATATTCCGGGCAATGACTGTGACTTTGTGGCAGCAGCTACTTCGAATGGGTTCAACATTACTTTAACAAATCAACCCCCTAATTCCCCCGATGTGAACATCCTAGACTTGGGATTTTTTAGGGCAATCCAGTCTTTAAAAGAGCAATCAGCTCCTACTAATGTGGCAGAACCCATCACAGCAGTTGAAGACTCGTATGTAAATTTATCAGCACACACTCTAAATAAAGTGTGGCTGAGCTACCAACATTGCATGCAAGAGGTATTAAAGGTGGGTGGAGGCAACAGTTATAAAGTTCCTCATATGGCCAAGGATAGACTCACTAGAGAGGGAACTCTTCCTAATGCTATACGCCTAGAGGAGGGCGTACTACAACAGACACTTGAACTACTAGGTCAGCATACCACCCAAGCTACACATGTTGTGGAAGTGGAGGAAGACAATTTGGCAGAGTTCATTCTTGAAGATGAAGATGACTTCGATCTTCAAGAGTGAACTTAAAAATGTGTTTTGGTTTTTGTTTTTTGTAAAGGGTTGATGATGTGTTCTGGTCTTTTTTGATTTTTTCTCAACTGCTTTTGTGTTTTTGACGTAGATGGGTTAGTAAGCAGAAATTACAGAATACCCAACCTTGTAATTACTCAGTACATCATAGAAGTGTACTCAACTTATACTCAATCATCATTGCAGTTTAGACTTACCCATTGTGCACTATGAATGCATTTGACACTATGAATACATGAGGAGGTTCACATCACAGCAAGTTCAGGTCTTCAGGATTTCTCAAGTGTAGTAAAACATCACAACAAGCTCAGTGAAGCCACTTAGGACAAGCATGACATTAACATCAATTACAACATGCATTAGAGTCAGAACACAGGGGAGGTTCACATCACATCGAGTTCAGGATTTCTCAAGTGTAATAAAACATCACAACAAGCTCAGTGAAGCCACTTAGGGCAAGCATTACATTCACATCAATTACAACATGCATTATGGTTAGAACACAGGGGGAGGTTCACAACATAGCAAGTTCAGGATTCCTCAAAATACATAGAGGGCAGAACATCGAATTAGGCACACATACATAAATTACACAACGTATATAGAAAAACATTAGGCAAGGATTACTTAGGGTTAATAGACTTCCCTAAAGAAAAACCTTGATTCCGCCTTCGACGGGTCAAACCCTGCTTTCGCAAGGGAGGAATCTTCTCAATCACAACACCCCCACCCCCTGAAAGTGTCACTCATAGTGGAAGGAGGCTGCATGGCTTTATCATTATCATCGCCTCTAATTTCGTAGAGATTAGGGTTAAAAGTGTCTGAAATTCCAAAGAGAAGGTACAAATTCTCTAAATCTATGAAAACACATAGATCTAGGATTGCTAATGAAAACGAAAGTGTGAGAGAGCGATGATAGTGAGAAGATGAAGGGTGTGAGAGCGACTCCATCACAGATTCACAGCAAGCAAGTGATGATAGTGAAAATGGAGGAGAAAGATTTACTCTATAGCCCGTAAATGAGAAAATTGAAAGCAAAGTGGGTGGATGAGAATGAGATACTAATGATAGAATACTCCGTAAATGTAAGTAGGAATAAAGAGGGGTAAATAGGTCATTGTAAGTGTTTTTTATTTCCAAATAAGAAAATGGGAAGAATCAAGTGGGACGGCCCAAAAAGGAAAGTGAGAAGAAAGATATGGGACGGAGGGAGTAGTATATATACATGAATTAGATATGCGCGAGAAACAAGTTCATATATAACTTTTGAGTATCGGAAACATCTTATACCCTCAAAAGAATGAGTATGTGCAGGAATTGGATCCATACTAAAACAAGTTTAGTTATTAGTGACATCTTATACACTCAAAAGTATTAGTATGCATAGAAATTGGATCTGTTATCAAGTTCAGTCTTCATCAGTATCGGAAATATCTTATGCAGTCAAAAGTATGAGAATCCAGAGGAATTGGATTTGTGCAAGTTCACTTACTTGTACTGGTAACATCTTATACGATCAAAAACATGAGTATCTAGAGGAATCAAATCTATGCATGCGAGTAACAAATTCAGTTATCAATTCCGATAAGGTCTTACACGGTCGAAAGCATGAGTATTTGAAGGAATTGGATCCGTGTGAGAAACAAGTTCGTTTATCATCAATACGGGTAGCATCTTATAGTTTTAAGATTTTTATAAAATACGACTTCATATGTATATTAAACGTTCGATTATACGGGTACATATACATACGTATTTTAAGTAAGAAGAGAGTTTTTAAGTTACCTCATTTGCCTCCAAATTCTTCTCGGGTTCTAGTTCTTTTTTATGCGCCTCTAGATTCTTCTCCGTTTCCATTTTTGTGTGATGCGCCTCCAGATTCTTCTCCGGTTCTATTTCTGTTTGATGCCTACACTATGCAAAAAAAGCAATAAAGTTTAGAATAATGTAATCGCCACATAAATCAACACTAATAGTGTTTAAATTAGTGGACTTTGAATTTTAATACAATAATCCCAGAGAGTAATATCAGTTAACATAGAAAAACTAGATAACATAATATTATAAAAGAAGTGTTTTAAATAATACTTTCAAAGGTATTGTTTTACGGTACATTTGTCATCTCCACTTTTATAAGTTTGAATTTATTAGTAGTACTTTGTTTACCTCGTTTCACAAAACAATTTCATATATACTTTTCATCTCCCTATTTGCAAAAGTAGTAGGAAAATATTCCCGCCCTAACAATTGCCGAAATGGTCAGATGGAACGTGCCCTATCCCTATCAACTGCCCACTTACCCCTAATATATCTTTATCTATCTACAACAGAGTATTATTATTTCTCAACCGCTCTCTTTTCTCAATCCATTGCCTCTCTGCGTCTTAAACCTCCTCCATAGTGTCTACCCCTAACATCTTCCGTTCCTATCGCTCATATTTGCCGCTGCAATTGAAGGCCAATGGTTCGTTGGTCGAAGCCAATGGATATTTTTGTCGCCGTTCTCCTAGCTAACCTAACCAGAGAACGAGAAAGAGTCGAATTCAGAAAGTGGGTAATAATCTTTTGTTCTTTCTATTTTAATTTCTTTATAGTTGTAATATGATTCGGAGATTTTTGGTATTTAGATTTTTCACTTTTTCTGGTGGAAGGCTTCCATGGCGATAACAGTGATAGGTTAGATGTTCATGGTTTCCATTGACAATTGGTGAGGCTGGCTTCTTTGGCTAACGGGATGATGAAGTGATCAGATTCAGGTGTCACCTTCTTAACATATGTGAAATCATCTTATTTAGTTATTTTAGGCTAAATTCCTATAAAATTTATTAGGTTAGAAAAATAATATGCCTATTTGCCACATGCTGACAACAAACTAAAATGGTTCTATTGCTTTAAATGTGATGGGAATTTTCAGATCCCCAAAGGCCTATTTCATATTGCAAATTAAAAGCTGGAGAAGAAAGTTCAAGCTGAGGTGAGATAATATACTTTTTTAAGAGATATGTTTTCCTGTATGTAACCAATGGACGTGAACATTAGCCTTTGCATATCGTAGGCATACATGGAGTATATGCTAACCCAAATTGCGTATCGTACTTTGATTCTCAATATTGCATGAATTCTTATTCTTTTAAAGTTGATGTCGATGCAAGAAAGGTTTAATTTCTAGGTTTATCACGTTATTATATTTTAAAACTTTTGCCTTAAAATAGTTTTTTTACATGTTATTTATAAACACTTATGATTTCCTCTCAAACCAGATTTAATAGAATGTAAAGATACCATTTTATCTGATGTGTTCATTGCAAAATAGACAAAGAAATTATTACTGAAAGATAAAGCTATTTAAATGTCTATCCATATCCTAAAAATAGAGACATCAGAATGCAACTATTGTTTCAGCATCTCTACTTCCTTAACTTCTACAACATTAAGATGGTAAGCTTATTGTTGTTTGATTTGTTAAACATTTTAGTTGTGATTTTCGAATATGAATATGCGGAAAGGGTCATTAAAACATTTTAAGAATCTTTCCTTGATAGTGTCAAGCACCTTAGTGAAAATGTTGTAGTTGTATATGGAATTCTAGAATGCAGCTAATGCTTGTTTTTGTTTTGCTTGAGTGTCCCTTTGGTATACGAAATTGATGGAATTGGAATTGAATTGGAATTAGAATTCCATGAGATTCAATTCCATAGAATTGAATTCACCAATTTCAATTCATTTATTGCACTATCAATTTTAATTCCACATGAAATTTGTGCTATCAAACACCAAAATTGGAATTGAACTCCTCAATTCCAATATCATAATTTGAATTCCGTGTACCAAACGGGGCCCGAGAGTGCTGAGCACATAGTTTTTTTGTGTAATGCTATGCACCTTAGTGAAATTATATGGTGCATCCAATTTTGTGTATATGTCAAATCCTATTCAGGTAATTATATCTCTTAGGTGACCTAAGGTGGTTCATTTATTTTCTGAGTTTTAACCTATATAATTGTTTCTACTATAACCTTTAATGGCTTTTAGTCTATTTGATCAATATTTATGATAGCTGGAAGACAAGATGTGTAGGTTGGTGTTTTTTATTTCCAAGCAATAGAAATGATTGATGCAATGCGGGTACTATGGTCCTATGCATTTTGTGTTTTCTCTCCAAGAGGAGAAACTTATGCATCAGGATCAGAAACTTATGCCAGACATGTCCTCGCGATTTTAGTATGGTAGTAACTTATGTTAATTGAGTAATTGTACTCGTAATCTTCTTCAACTCTTTTTAGAATGGCTAGAGAGCTGGGGTTGGATTGGGTTCGTTTTGATTTGAGACTCTAAGAATTGGAATATACTAACACGATGTTTGGTTTAAGAAATTTGAAAGAAAGAGGAATAAAAAATAAGAGGAAAAATAATTTTCATGTTTGGTTAGATAGGAAAAGAAAAGAAAACTACAAGGAAAGGAAAATGAGGAGACAAAATGTTCTAAGGGAAATGAGAACCAAATTCCTTCCATTTTGGTCGGGGAAATGGAGAAAATCATTTTACTTTCTTTTTTTCAAATTCTTTGAACCAATCATAGAGTAAGGGTAATGTTGCATAGAAATGCTTGCATTCTGTATCTGGTCTTTCATCTTTACATAAGAACATATTACGGATTTCAGTAATAAAATGTGGCCTATTTCTTAGGCTGTCAGTTACCGCATTTGTGTACTTGATCTGTTAAGTGAGGAATACAATGTTGGAACTACATTAGGCCTTGCACTCTATCCAATAATATATTAGATCAAGTTGAGTTTTTTTATTAAGAAAACATATATCCAATTTGTTTATCATTTACTATAAATCATTCGCAGAATATTATGTCCAATGGTGTAGAATTCAACGTGTAGGATTTGAGAATGTTTCTTTATGAACATGTGAAGAATAATTTATTAGCATAGAGAATTATATCCACTCACTTTGATTATTTGTTATAGCTATTTTGAAGTGCTTGCGTTTTTACATTCTCATTGAACTATTGTCATTTATTAATTTTTATTGTTGCGTTTGGTTTGTGCAGGAATCTTGATTGGAGCAAATGAATCATTATAGCCATGGATGCAACATTTGGGATAGAATACTTGAATTTAAAAAAAATAGCATGCTTAACATTGACCAGAGACATTTTAGAAAATACTCCCTCCTTCCGTCCCGAAATAGATTACAATATTCTCTCACATTTTTGTCCCAAAAAGAATTACAAAGTCAATAACTTTACAAGGAATTGACTCTTTTATCCTCCCACTCCTACACTATTCACACACTATTCATCCATGTGAGTGCGCCACTTGGGGGTAATTTGTGGGAAAAAAAATTGATTTGACTCTTCCTTAATTTCAACAAAAAGGAAATATTGTAATCCAAAGTGGGACGGAGAGAGTAATCTTTTATCGTGCAACGCACAGGTAAAAAATTTAGTTCTTCCTACAAAAAGACTTTCTCTTTTAAGGATAAAATTCATTCTATATTTGCTAGTTTTTACCCAACATATCACATTATATCTATTCATTATTTGATTTTGACATCAGATTTATTTTGATTTTTCAATTTTTAAATTTCAATTTTTTTTATTTTAATCTTTTTACATATAATATTGAAATATCTTTCAAGAAAACTAATTTTAAAAAATTAGTTTTTCTAACAGCCAAGTCCAAAAGATACTCTCTTTGACTTTTCGAATTTTGACTTTTCAGATCAAACTGCCAAGTGAAAAAGCCATTATTCAAACACCGATTTTAGTTGTTCAATTAGTGAGATAACACTTTTTAAACTATTAGGTCTTCTATGTGACACTTTAACCATTAATATGCATGCATGTATGTATGTGTGTGTATATAATTAATAAATTTTATAAAAAAAATATGATATTTCAAAATTATAATTAAAAACAAATCAAATAATTTAAATTTATATTATTATTCAACATATTGTTTTTTAAATTTCATGGTCAAAGTTTTTAATTTTGATCCTAAAAAATTGAATTAAAACTTTTTTTGGAACGGAATGATTGATTCAATTTAAGAACAATATTTTTAAATGACATTAGAATGTGTACATGAGTTAAATTAAATAAAGATAAAGAGATAGGGCCATTATGCAATTTTAAAAGTTAAAATGATGTGGCTAAAAAGTTCATATGGAAGCAATTTAGTGGGAGGGCATCCATACCCCTTCATTAGCAAAGGCACCGGAGAAATTCCCAAGTTTAAAAAGATAATAGAAACACAAATTTGTATTTCAGAACACAATTTCTCTTACTATTTTGGTTGAATAGGCATGAATTTTTTCTAATCTGGTAATATATTAAGCTTTTTAGGCATAAGGATAAACTTACTGTTGTTTGGATGACTACTATATGCATTTCTCTCATTTCACAGTTACATGGAATGAAATGAGTTAATTAATGTGCTTACCAAAATATGATGATGACTTGTCTAAAATATCTAAAACTCATGTGAAGGGCTTATATTAGGCATCTTATATTCATTTATTCAGAAAGTGGACTACCAAATTTAGACAAAGAAAGTGATAACGTACTTGCTCTCGGACAATGTCATGGAGCCTACCCCTCTTTTGATATTAAACTTCATAAGGTTGAGGGCTCCAATTTAATTGAAATACAAAGCAAACACCACTCATAAGTGAATTGTTTTCTTTGAAACTTAAATATAATTCTGATATCAGATGGTGTCAATGATATATAGTTTTGATATTTTTTCGTGTACTGAGTGATTAGTCAACTGAGTTACTATTAATCGAGTACTATTACATAAATCCATTGAACGATCAATGTTTTTAGCAACATAATAGTTGTGCCTATCTTCAAAAGAAAAAAACAGATGATTTTCTATGGGGGAAAACAACCTATTTGTACATCCAAAAGGCAAAGTAAAACTGAAAATGCTACAAAGAGTGTCACACGTTAAACTTTTCCGGGTAGTACCATGGCCGGTGCTAATGTCCATTTCTCCATATATAATCTTTTAATCTCCTTATATAATAAAAGTCAATAAAAGTCAATATATAACGGAAAATAAAAATATTAATGTGTACGTTATTTTATTCTTTTCCGTCATGCAATTTCATATACATTTGTTGACTTTCCCATTTTTCCCTTGATGTGATGGGTAAAAGTAAGATGTGATAGTTTAATTGATAGTAAAAAAGTATGATGTGATAGGTAGGGTATGAAAAAGTAGGAGTAAAAGTGGTTTTTTAATAGAAAGGGGAAGTGTTTTAAGAAAAACAAAAAAATGAAAGAGGAATGATTTTAAGAAACGGAGGGAGTATTTAATATAATTTATTTCATTTTATTATTTATATAATTTATTTTTTAATGTACAGATATAAAAAATTAGGGTTGGAGAATACACTCAAAGCACACCAAAAATGCTAGAAAAAGTGTGTTGCACTAAGGTAATTCTCACAATAAGGAAAATCAAAATATTCATTATAAAAACTTCATTTATTTACGTACGATTAAAAAATTCTTTCCATGTATAATTAAAATTACATGAACAAAAAGATTATTGGTCAACGTTTTCCTTTCATTTGAATAAAGGATGATTTTATGTATGGTAAATTTTATGTTTGGAAAATATAATACTACATTTTTTTTGAATGCAATATTCATACATATTGTATGTAATAATAATAATAATAATAATAATAATAATAATGTTTATGTCCCTAAATATAGTAAAATATTATGCATGGTAAATATATTCCTACATACTCCGTAATATAGAGTATTTATATTTCCATACATAAAATTATATTAGAATGACATAATGAAGGGAGTGCACATACGCGCGCGCACAACACCATTTCCATATAACACACAAAAAATAACGAAAGCACACAATTTTCCATTTATAATGGAAAGTCAATGGGCGGGAAAGTTGGTCAAAATTTCCCTGTTTTTAAATAAGTATAGATAATTATAATTATTATATACGGAGTATTAATTATAAAAATATAATTAGATGTGGAAAAGAGGATACGAGAATAAATAAGGAATCAAAGAAGATGAAGATGAAACCACCATCATCAATCATACTTGAGAAAGGTTGGAAATTAGTACATAAATAATGCTAGTTAAGCAAGCCGATTTCAAGAAAATAAAACCTTAAGAGCTTAAATTAAAACATTCCATAGGACCTGGCCAAGCACACATCGTCCTTCCTTGGGATATCAACTCGTCAAGGACATTTTGACGTAGATCAGATTTATCAAACTCGAGACCTTTGGGTCCAAAAAACCACAAACGGCCCAATGCTCCCAATGAACAAACCCGGCCATCTGATCCGAATGCAACGATGGCATTGTTTTGCAAACCCCCTATGAATAGTTCCTCCTCCAGCCATGTCGAGTGCCGAGGGTCAAAGGGGCACACATACCAAAAAGGAGCAGTTTCAGATACTAATAAATCAGCCTCATCTCCCATTACAGGATAGTCATGCCGGCGTACGAGGACCAGTTGGACATCAGGATTAAGATATTGCTTTATCTCAAAATACCATTGTTTCACTTGAAAAGAAAGGCCAAAGTCACCAAGATTATCAAGGTAAAGAAGTGTTTTCTTTCCCGTGAGTTCACTCACAGGTATCTTCTTCTTGTCTTTATAAACATATTTCCTTGGCCCATACTCCAACAATGTCTCCAAGGTGAGCTCCTCGAACTTCTTCATTTTCATTTCAATAATGCCGTCCCTACCAAACGGATACGCATCAATCCCACACACACTCATGAATTCTGCTCCGTGAGGTTCGACAAATGCACCATGCGGTCCCACGATGACGATATGATCTGTATGGTTCCATTCAGTACATCGCCTGAACCTGCAGCTTACAGAGCTGTTGAAGCGCTTGTTTTGCCCGTCAAAACATGGGGGAAACCAACACCACGATATATTCCACTCCAGCAACACACTCTCAATATTTGCTATGTGGACCTCTGGGTCAAGACTATCATCAGTCCAGGGTATATAGACCAGCACTATTTCAAAATCTAGCCCTTGAGCTCTGCATTGTTGATAGACCTTCCCTAGAGTGGGAATGAGATGTCCGCTAAAGCATGCGTACACCCCGACAACCTTACTGCTGAGTTCCAAGATAGTTACCTTCTCATGGACGCCTGGTGAAACAGTCTTATTTAGAACATCAGACGGACTGCACCCTAAGAGATCTTCAAGCTTGGATGGTAGAATATGACCATCATCCCGCCACAGGTGGTCATTTGCGCTAACCTCCTTCAATTTCTTGTCAGTAAAGGGAAACGCATCGGCACCATGGTCAAGGGCAAAGTAGGGATATTCACAATACAAAATGTTTCTCTTGATGTCCGTATCCTTGTCTAAAATGAGACATTTTATATCATCACATTCAGATGCTGCGAGGTCAAGGTATTTGCATATAAAATCACGGTGCTCTGAGTGCTGGAATGGTACCACTAGACATGAAGGGGGGAATCCCGACATGAAATGATCGAAAAACACCTCGTGATTGGCCAATTGGTTCATCTTAGCAACTACTACCATCTCAAAGTCACTTCTCGAGGAATACAGCTCGGAGCACGCAGTTGCTAAAGCCTGGGCACGGCGTGCATTAAACTCTTGGCGGAAGACAGGCAAGTGAAAACAACAGACCAGAATGTATTTTCCACTAAATGTCTGCTTACCAATTTCAACTCTCCCGGTCTTATCATCATTACGACAAAGGTAATTCATATCATCCTTACCAGACAAAAAGGAGATAGCATCAAAAGACTGACCAATCTTGATGGGAGACAACTTTTTTGATTCAGAAACCATCTCATTGATATGATCTCCATATTCAAGTTTCACACCCATCAATTTATAGGCTATAGGACATGCTTGTATAGGTGGGAAGGGATTTTTCTGCTCTTTGGGAATCACAGGCCATAGTGTTTTTAAAATCCTCTCATAAGAGCGCAGGCAGTCGAATGAACTCTCTTTCTGGAGTTTCTGAAGACGCCCTATAAGATGCAACATGGAGTAAAAACCTCCATGGACCAGAATGCCTTTCTTGACATTCACAAGGACGCATTTAAAAGTACCCGGATAAACCAAGCCGAGGCAGTCACACATGAAGTTACGACGATGTGACTCCTTGGCTGGTACAACAAGAGAGTAAGTGGGAACAAAAGAGAAGAATGCTTTCAAACATAAGTCATATTTGTCTTCTACACCGGGCTTTGGAACAACTACCATCTCAAAATCGTCTCGAACAGAATACAGATCAGCACATAGCTTAAAGAGATCCATAGGGGAGTACCCATGCATCACATCGACTGGAGAAAGTTGATAGAAGAAACAGTAAAAGAGGATGTATTTGCCAGAAACCGTTTCCTGGNGGCAGTCACACATGAAGTTACGACGATGTGACTCCTTGGCTGGTACAACAAGAGAGTAAGTGGGAACAAAAGAGAAGAATGCTTTCAAACATAAGTCATATTTGTCTTCTACACCGGGCTTTGGAACAACTACCATCTCAAAATCGTCTCGAACAGAATACAGATCAGCACATAGCTTAAAGAGATCCATAGGGGAGTACCCATGCATCACATCGACTGGAGAAAGTTGATAGAAGAAACAGTAAAAGAGGATGTATTTGCCAGAAACCGTTTCCTGGTCAAATTTCACCTTCTCCCCAAAAGTTCGAAGAAGGTAATCCATCTTACAGATGCAGGACAACAAGGGCATTTTGTCAAAGTTTACTTGCTCCTCAACAGTTTTCGGTTTCTTTGATGGATACCCTGACATGCCATTCATCCCAAGAGACTCTGAATCAACACCATCGATCCCTGAAGACCCTAAATCAAGATCCATTCCTTCATGGAATTCCATATTGTAGGAAAATCAAAATCAACCTTTAAGGCGAAGACGTGAAATGGAATCGGAACCGTAAATTCTGATCCAAACCTACGATTGCTATGTTTGCGGCGACGTTTTCATGAGGCGGCGGCGTTACTGTGTCTAGGGTTATTCCTTCATCTCAAACGCGCTACGGGGGGCGACCGTATTTGGATGGGAAATAGGGCTAAAATGGAACAGGTTAGAGACTAGCGTTAGCGTTTTGGATAAAATTTTAACGGTGCAGATCGCTTTGAAAACGCTAACGCTAAACGCTGCCCGTAGATAGCTTTTTCAAAACGCTAACGTTAATCGCTAACGCTGTTCCCAAACAGGCACGCAGTCTTTTTACGGCTGTGAATTGTGCAAATGCTTTTTTAAATTGACTAATTCCATAAAAGGTTCCCAGTTATAGGTCGTTTTACATATTTAGTCACTATATATCAAATATTATTAATTTAGTCCCTAATTATTGTATTTATTTTCACGAATGGTCCTTTGTTAACATTTTCGTTAAAACATGGGTAAAATTATAAAATTCACTCTTTTCTCTCCTCAATTAAGCTTCTCTCTTCCCTTGCACACCTTTCTCAAACCCGTCGTTGATTTTTTAGCTTTGAAACCTAAACCAAAATCATCACTCTTCTCTCAATTGTTTGTCTAACTGGAGGAACGATCTTTTAAGTTTTGGGTTTCAGAAATTCAAACTCAGTGACGAATTTGGAAAAGAGTATGAGAAAATGGAGGAAGCTAAATTGAAGAGAGAGAAAAGTATGAATATACAATTTTGTCCACGTTCTTAACGGAAATGTTAACAAATGACCATTTGTAGAAATAAATATAATAATTGGGGACTAAATTAGTAATATTTGATATGTAGGGACTAAATATGTAAAACGACCTATAATTGGGAACCTTTTATATAATTTACTCTTTTAAATTTTAAAAGTTCTTAAATAGTTATTAAAATATTCAATTCCCTCCAAATTGAATCTTTCAAAGAATTATTTATGCACTTTTGAAATTTGAAAAACTCTGTGTGGAGCATTATCATTACTTGAAAGATTATTTATAAATTTTTAAAACTTGAAGGACTTTGTACGAACTTTTCAGCTTTTAATCAGGTTATAACGAATTTCCTGTGCATGATGATCTCTTCGTCTACATTTGGCATATTTATACACCCAAAAAAATTAAATATTTAAAAAATAAATATTTAAATGTTATATATCTTAAAAATATTATATGATATATTCCCTCCATCCCACTGTTTTTTTCCACTTACTTAATTTGGTAAGAATTTTTTTTGTAAAAGTCCATTTTACCCTCAATTAAATATCCATATCCACCCATCAATTAATATTTCCACCCACCCATCAATTAATATCCCATCTTCCTATATCCTTTTCGATCAATACGTTATTCTTTCTCGTATCTTCTTCCTTATGTTTTCTTTTCTGTTGTTGTATACCTTCTCTTGCATCTTTTGTCATAGCCTATTTTTTAGTTGGCTTTGCATAGTAGTGTTTTGACTTATAAGTTGTTTATAAGTCAAATATTCTTTCATAAAAATAAAATGACTAAAATGATAGATAAGTCACTTAGAAATAATCATGAATGGTGAAAGACTGTGTTATAAATAATCTTATCAAAATGGACCAATGAAAAATTGGTTCATAAATGAGTAATTAAGACCTACTTTTTTTTATTTATAAGTATCTTATAAATCAACTTATTAGCACACAAAAATATGTCATGAGTTGATTTATAAGTTAGAAACAACTTGATAGACTTAGAGAAACACACACGTTATGAATATCCTTAAATGACTTATATATCATTTAAGTTATTTCATCTACATGGAAGAATTTTGAACTTATAAATCAACAACTACTTATAAATAATAAATCAATAGATACTAGACAAAGAAACACACACAGAGCTGGCAAATCGGTCGGTTAGGTCGGATTCGGATTCGGTCACTTCGAGTTGGGTTATTTCGGGTTCGGGTTGATAAACGTATGTTCATGACCCAGCGTCACCGGGTTCGGGTCGACCTAACGGGTTATGACTTTGATTTTTTAACTTTTTAAATTAACATCAACAGTTATATTTTCTATTAAATAAATACAAATGAATGTATTGAATATATTAAATTATTTTATTTTAAATTTTTAACTTATTTTTAAATATATAAATTTGATTTTAAAAATTGTCTCAAAATCGTCTCGAACAGAATACAGATCAGCACAAAGATTAAAGTAGTTGATGTGGAATAAAATAAGGACATGATGTTCAAACGGAAGGTGTTAACATAAATATGTTTATTTAAGCTACTCCTTCCGTCCTATAATGATCTTTTTGGTTCGCAAAACGAAGAAAAATCCCAAGTTTTTTCAATTTATTTTTTTTAAATATTGGTATAGAAATAAAAAATAAAACATACATATTTAAAAACTACACCAAAAGTTCAACAAAACAAGTGATGACAAGAATATTTAATTTTATCATATAGGCAATGAAAAAATACAAATAAATATAAATTCCCGTGAAGTTGGAATAGTGCTATGGGAAGATCATTATAGGACGGAGGGAGTATTTTTCTCCGTGATCACATGTTGTTGTTGATTGTATGTTAATGTGGTGCTATTCTGTGAGTTAATGCTGGCTTAAGTATATTTTCACTCAGCGTTTCGCTGAGCGTGTAGTCGTTGTTGTTTGATTGCACGCAGGTAGGAACACAGTTTGGATGGGCAACCCGGAGAGCAGTGAAGTGGTGGTGTGGTGTGGATGGCTATTGTTTAATTTAATAATTAAATTTAATAATTAAATTACATTATTTTATTTGATTATATGGACTGGACGTTATTTTGGGTTTCTTATGCTTCCGCGACGTTTGGATTTATTTAATTATTCTGATGAATTTGGGTTTAGTTAAAACTCTACGGACGAATTTTATAATTAGTTTAATTGTTATTTTAGAAAAGAAACTTTATGCATGCGAATGCCAACTTAGTGACAACCCGGTTCGCTAACCCGTTGGTTTGAGTTACGCGGGTTGGGGTGTTACAGAACTCTTATTTTGAGATAAATTTCTAACAAGAGTTACTTTATATTTTTTAAAATATAAATTTTAAAATTAAAATTAAAAGAAAAAAATAAATTTGCACAAATTAACTCTACCTTTAATTTATTTACGAAAAACACGCATTTTCAAAAACTTCGTTAAGTGAACTGTTAGCTTTTTGACAATGGCCCAAAATTCGCTCAAATGCGAAAGTGAGAGATTATTTTCGAAATTATTTTTGGAAAATACAAAAAAGTGGAATTATTTAAGAGTCAAAAAACAAACAATGAATACGAGTAATTCTTTTTGTGATTACTCCTTCCGTCCTCCAATTTTTGTCCACTTTTGACTTTTGAAACTGGTCATCTAAACACTTTGACTCATCAAATTCTCTCAATGTGTATGCCTAAATTTAGTCATGTGTGATCTTGTTTGATTCGTCTTAACATATAGATTATTAATATATAATTTCTCTAATTTTTTAATATACAAATTACAAGATAAAATGGATTAAAGAAGTGCATTGGATGGTGTGTAAAAATGAAACTGGACAAATACTTTGGGAGGGAGGGAGTATTTATTTTCCAACTCCTTGCTTGATTTTGACGTTTGTTTCAGCACCAGCCACCACAGCCGGCCGGATAGCCCCCCTCGCCCCACCGGGTCACCGTCCGCAAGACGCCTCCTCCTCCTGCAGCGGCGGACTTCCAGGTTTCCCCACCTTAGCTATCAGCGGTTCAGCGCGGCAGTAACACAGGTCCATTACGACATCAGCGGCTCAGAACCCGTGCTTCTCAGCCAGGTAATACAATTTTTTTTAATATTTTATTTTTTATATATAAATTGAATTGATTTATTGCTCCAAAAAGTAGTTTTATGGTTTTCTTTTGTTGATTTAGTTTTATTCACCCATCTCAGGCGTCCCGCCAAATCCATAGCCTCCCCTCTTTCAAACTCCGCTGACTCTTTAAATTATTCCGTTCGGATTTTAAAAAATTATTCAATTCGAATTTTGAAAAATTATTTAAAATCTAAATGTATTCAATTCAGATTTGAAAAAATTCTTCTGAATATGATGGTGTTCAAAAGTTGATAGATTTTTAATGATTTTTAATAGTGTTGATTTTGATAGATTTTTTATGCCTTACTTATAAATACACATCTGATTCCAAATTCAATCAGCAGCCAATGGATCAATTTGAACCAATGGCGTGTAGTTCAGGGGTAAACCCATGGTGAAATTGGTGTTCCCAGGAAGAGGAGACCTGAAAAATCTGAACTTGAAATGCAGTACGAGATATTGGTGAATTAGGGGCAAAAGGGGAGGAGAAACAAATCTATAGAGGGCGTGTGTTGAGAAAGTTTGAATCTTTGAACTAAAGACCAAATCTTTGAGTGGTTAGGACAATGTCTTTTGGTTTCCAAACAGCTGCTTTGGTGGGTTCACCATATTGCACCAATGCTATAGCCTGGTCAGAGGATAATTTGTTAGCCGTGGCTTCTGGTCATCTTGTTACCATTATGGTATGAAAATAATTTCTTTTAATGAATTTTATTATTGTTTTCTATTCTTATTATCATTATTATTGTTCGTAAAATAAAATTCATAAAATTCTTAGTATGCCACATTGACGGAGTAAATTTGGTCTGAACTTTATTATTTCCCTCTCAGAACCCTGCAAGCCCTTTTGGAGCTCGTGGAGTTGTTACAGTTCCCACCAGCAAGCCCTTTCAAATTGGACTGATTGACAAAAAGGGTAAATTTGTTTATTTATCTTTGAAATGGAATATAGTGCTGTTAGTTTTTCCGATATGTTTCTTAAAGGCTAAATAGTGGGTATTGTAGAAACTTAATGTATAGTGGGGAAAGAGCTTACTTAATTTAACTTATCATGACTGCATTGTATATGTATGGAAAGTTACCTTTGTATTTTTCTTGCTTGAGACTTTTGCAGAATTGATCTCTGGCTGTTTGTTACCTACTTTTATATCACGAGACATCCGTTCTTCTGTTAGATCAATTTCATGGTCTCCTATTGGATTTGCTTCGAATGCCAGGTTTGATGTCCAACTTTTTAGTTCCGTCTGTGTTTGACTTCCGTCTCTAATATGCCGTGATGTCTGATTTGTCTCTAAAATGTCATGATCATACGTGCAAACAGTTGTTTGCTTGCCATATGCACCACCGAGGGACGTGTGAAGGTTTACCGCATGCCATTCTGTGAGTTTAAAGTTGAGTGGATAGAGGTAGGCAGTGAGAAAACATGCCTATATATTTCTTTCTGTTATCATGTTTTGTCTTTTTGTTTGTTTTAACATCTTTCTTCATTTAACTTGAACAGGTAACGGACATATCTGAGATGCTCTACACTTATCTTGGAAATGTCAATTTCAATGTGTCAAACGTGTCTTCCGAAGTTTCAGATGTAAGTAGATGAATGACTTTTCAGTATTTTCATTATCTCAACGATTTATGGAGTATTTCTTTCTAAATCTCATTTCCCCCACATATTCCTTGTTTGCTAAACAGACAAATTGTTCCCTCAATGACGTAGCATTTGAAGAAGACATGCCGATATGTCACTTTATGAAAGCAAAGAAGAAAAGGAAACTGAACGCCTTGACTGTAATGTACACTATTTTATGAGCCCTTTTAGATAAAGATTTGTAATTATTTGATTTAAAAATAAATTTTCTACCTTTAGAAGGACATTTTTCTCATGGGATTATGCCATCCACAGGTAGTAAACATCAAGGATGGCGTGAGAAAAGGAAATATGTCATGTCTATCTGCTGAAGAATATGCTTCTCGTAATGCAATGATATCTTCACTAACTGTTGCTTGGTCACCCAATCTAAAATGGACAAGTTGTTTTTCAGTGCTTGCAGTGGGAGGCAAATCCGGTAGACTCTCATTTTGGAGATTTCATAAACCACAATGTTACTCCACGCGGAGTAGTACCGACTCAAAATCTGCATCACTTATGGGCTTCCTTCAAGCTCATGGCGCTTGGATAACAGCAATAACATGGGCTTTGTTTGAGTCAAATTCTTCCAATCCTCAAGTTATGCTTTGCACTGGGAGTTCTCATGGGAGGTGAGTAATTATTGTTGAATAGGGATTAATTCACTCCAAAAGGATCTTCAATATTTGAAATTTAGCTCACACTTATATTCTAGACTAGATTCATGTACATTGCCAATGGAGAAAAAAAGAGTTGTGTTTGACAATGTTTTGGCTCCGGCTAAATAATGGACTAAATCAAAATATCGCATTAAACTTTGCTTCTTAAATGCTATGAAGTTTTGGGCAGTAAATGAAGCAATGAATCAAGGGTCTAACGGAAATAACCTCTTTGTATCTTACAGGGGTAAGATGTCTTATATCTTGACCCCCTAGACGGCAACAAAGTAGGGATTATACTAGGTTGATGTACTTATATACTAGATTAAACCCTCCTAAACAATTGATGTTTCCATGTTGGATACTCAACTCACACACAACAACAACAACAACAGCGAGCAACAATTATATGTGTCCTTGTGCAACATTTGGCTTATGGCCCAACAAAAAAGTCCCCTTACAAGTTGTGCCCTCTCTCTGTTTCTTATCTTATACTGTATTAAACTTTGATGATTTACATTATAATTTAAATGCATTTTTGTAGTGTGAAGCTTTGGCGAGCATACAATAGAGAACTTGAGGAATCATCCAACACTAATCATGTTTCTTTCTTTCTGTTAAAAGAGGTTGAATTTCATATGGTACATTATAGTTTTTTTTAAGTAATAAGGAATATATATTTTTCATTTATATAATTTTTTTCTGACAGGTAACAATGGTAAATTATGAATCGATCTCTATCCTTTCTGTCATAGTGCCTTCAGATTCATCAGGCAAAATTTGTTTAGCAATTGGGAGAGGATCGGGATCAATTGATGTGTGGATTTCTGAGATGCCCAACAACACATTCAAGTCAGTTGGCTCTTACAATGGACATGATCATATTGTACGTTGTTATCATTGATCCATACTTTTGTCGATCATTACTCTAAGGGTATATTTTGATCATGTTAGAGAAGTGGGGAGTTGCTGAGGAAATTTATTTGAATATCACTAATGGAGCCAAAGATTCACTATTTTTGGCTTTGGGGTATGATAGAATAACGCAAAATGCTCTTTAAACCGTCTGCACTTCTTTCAATAGTAAAATAGCAGTTACTGAATGCAACTTTCAACACTCATTCTGGGTCATCTGAAATAGACGCTTAATGTTCTAAACGTAGGGGTCAGGTTGCGTACCTACGACCCCCCCCCCCCCACCTTGCAATGGGCGGGTGCCTTTGAGGGATTGGGTTTATGTTGTTGTTGTTGTTTGTATAAACCACCACTATTGATTCAAAAGGAAAATGAATATATTTTAGAGAAAAAAATGCACACCAGTATATCTAATTCTTTATATATAGATAATATCTATATGTAAAGAACTCTGAGTCTTTATCATTGAAATAATAGTGAAATGAGTTTGTTCATTTTAGATTTTCTTTGCCAAGTATTTTTTGAGTTCCAAACAAATGATTGAACTCCTGTAAATTTACAAAGGTCACGGGCCTGGCTTGGGCTTTTGATGGACGCTGCCTGTACAGTTGCAGCCAGGTAATCTACTTTAGATGTTCACGTGCAACTAACATATTCATTATAGCATTATTTCACTTATGGAACGACTACATTTCTAATCTAAACAATATACATGTCAGGATAACACACTTTGCAGCTGGGTGTTGAGAGGAAATGTGCTACAGCAGGTTTCGTTTCCCACAAACACCCCTGGAACAAGGAGCTCTGTTGATGTGCCAACTGCTTTTGATTCATGTTGCGGTCTTGCAGTGTCTCCGGGGAATCTTGTACTTGCTGTGGTACCATGCTACCCTTTTGGTCATTGGTTAAATTTTTAGTCCTTTTACTAAGGCTATATATTTCTTCAACTTTTATGGTGAAAAAAAAACATTTTTACATGATTGGTTTAATTCTTTTTGTAATGAAAACTTCAAAATGCATAAATGTGTGCTGTCATTATAAATTGGCAAGAGCTAAATGACATTTGCAAATCCGTGCAGGTACATGGCTACGATACTGAACTATTAAATCCAATGTATGAGTCAAGGTCAGTGCACGTATCAAGAAATTCATCACATATCCTAAAATATTGCCAAAAGAAAGATATCAACACCCAAAACAAAGAAATATTTTGTCATTTGGTATAAATGGAATGGTGATTGCTAAAAATACACAGGTCTTGCAAAGCTGCAGTAGATTTCCTGTGGATCGGAGGGCAGCATCTGGATGTGATCTCTGATACGTTTCTAGATTTGGATGCCCAATCTTTTCCTAGTTCCTCCGAGAGAGAATTGTCTTGTTGGGACAGTAATATATTATGGTCACTACATCAATATGATCACCATCATCATCATCATAGGCCATTGATCATATGGGACATTATAGCAGCACTTTTGGCCTTCAAGCAGTTGAATCCAAAATATGTACAACGCATACTATTAAAATGGCTGTCATCGATAGTCGGTGGACCCCAGTGTGACATCTCTAATATCTTGTCCAAGTCCCTTTCCCAGTACCTCTCTAGAATTGCGTCCCGAACGCTGCAACTCCTCAACATCATCACCAGACAGGTAGTGTTGAAGAAGGTGGATGACTATTATGCCCTTGAAGGTGAGGAGCATCGTGACTGGTGGAAGCAGCTGCACATAGATGCTGAAAAGGAATTAAGGGACCGGGTTGTAGGATTTAACCTTTCTGTTGTTTCAAGTTGTGTGTCTAATTCTGGGGGCGAGGATACCGGTTGCAGAATCGGACATTGGATTCCCGTTGGGTCGGCGCAGATGGAGAAATGGGTTGAGCTTAACAATGCTGATATGAAAGAGCAACTTAAACTCCTCGCAGAAAAAGTTAAAAGAATCAAGAAAAGGTAATTCATCATGTCTTGCTATTTATATATACAATCATACATACTCCCAACTCTTGTGTTTTCCATTGTTTAGGAACCAACTCAAAAGTTTGTAATTGTAGATCCAGAAAAGGTTTTATACTGGAGACCCAAAGAACAGACTCCATCTGGGAATCCACAGCAGATGAGGAATGCAGCTTCTGCACTGCATCAGTTCCATTCGACACCCCAGAATTTGGTTTTTGTGTGGGAGAGAAGAACAGCGATGCAGGGGGGGCCGTGGGGCCCAGACACAAAGTAACTCGGTGCACTGTTTCAATGCGGGTGTGCCCTCCAACTACCCCTCCATGGCATTGTGTGTGTTGCAAGCGTTGGACATCACAGCTGGCACCTTCTGCCCTCTTCGCCTTACCTGAATATCCCAGCGATTTTGAATCTTTAGTCCAGCAGCAGCTTCATTCTTCTTCTTCTTCTTCTTCTTCTTCTGGTTCTGGTGCACATGATCAACCAGTTAAACCTTTGTGCCCTTTCTGTGGGATTCTTCTGCAGAGACTGCAACCAGAGTTCCTCCTCTCTCCATCTCCAATATAGCTACAAACGTGATTCAAATATTTGCATGTAACCTCTTTTTTTTTTCTTTCCAAATATTGTAGTAATATTCTTGCCATGTATTTATAATTTTGTGCTTGTTTTGAGCTACCTAACATATTTCTCTTACCCTCACGCGCCTATTTAAAATTTTCATTGACTTTGTGGCTTGTGATTTGTGGTAGACTATCCACGAAAAGAAAGCTTGACTTTCATTTCCATGCCACGGAGTGTAGTTGTGTGGTAGTATAGAGTTGAAGATTTAGTACGTGGTCGATATTTATTTAATTTCTCTGTGGGTTTTGGTTGTAAACCTTTTAATGTTCGAAAATACCCGTCCTATATTTTATTCTTCTTCTCTAAGTTGCAATATTATTTACATGCCACCTAAAGATATTTGATTGCTTGAAATTTAATACCGGAGTAATTTCTTTACCATTATTTTGAAGATAACCCTACTATAAATGTTTACCCACCTCTCCACTGAAGTTAGAGTTAACTTTTTTTACGAGTAAAAAAAATTTTGCGGTTCCTATTCCAATCCCACTCTTCAGCTTACATGTAAGGGTTTCTATTTCAATACAATTTCACATTTAGTTTTTACTTTTGCTAATAGCGTAAACTAATTTATTGTTGTTTTTTGTAAAAGAGAAAAATAAGTGGTAGCAAAAAATATTTTAGTTTATCAAATAACCAATAAAAATATAAAAATACATAAATATTCCAAAAAGTTTTAAATAATAACCGTGCAATTTAATCTGAGACGAAGAAAATAAAAACAACAAAATTATCCTTTTTACATAGTACACAGTATTGTTTATTCTTATTGCAATTAGACAAAGATTCAGATAAAAAACGTATACAAATTTAACTTTAATTGGAAATCATATGATAAGGATTCATACCAGTTCAAATTTATACTCCATAAGTCTTTGATTATTTGTCTATTTTTTACTTTTTTGGATCAAAATTGGGAAAATTTGATCACAAATTAAATAAAAGTGATAAAAATATATTTGGCCAAAAAAATATTAGACATTGATAAAAAAAATAATTTTATCAGATTAGTTTAATAAAATATTTTCAAAATATTATTTTATCTAATTAATACGGAGTATACAATATATTTATCTATTTATAAATCAAAAGTTAAAAATAGTTAACTGCAAAAGTCAAAACTAAACAAACAGTGAGAAACAAAGCTAGTATCATATTAGAAAGAATCGCATCCCCAAATTAGAGTCACATCCCCAAAATATTGGACAATAGATGTTGGTAGGTACAAGAGGAAAAACACACTTGCTCTCTAGAGTCTAGACTATGTCACAAGGATACCTACAAGCAAGCTACTGTACATTCAAGACCACCATGTATATAGAAAAAATGTCAACGATTAAAGAAACATATTCAGAGAAGAAGAAAAAAAAAACCTTGGATCAATCAAAAGCTAAAAAATACATAGTGCTTGAACAAGAATTCAGCAGGAAAATGCACACCTTCAAAAGATGGAATTTTTCTTCCAGAATGAAGCAATGGCTAAGGTGGTTTTCCTTCACCGACGGTATCTATGGCGTTTGAGATTAAAATACAAGCGCAGAATGCCTCCGTCGAATATGTTTTTGAACCCTTTCTTGTGAGAGCATTCCCATTCTCTGCTGACAATCCGGAAGGCTATGTCCTCGTAAGGTGGGCCCGCATGGAACCTGATGATGCAGGTGTCCCCACTGTCTCCATCCTTGTCTATCACATAAGTTGGAGTTTTTGACTTGTCGGCAAGATCTGGGTAGAATATATTGAACTTATATCCCTGCACAACCTTTGGTGGTGGATTGTCATGATCATAATGAGTCTGGTTGTACTTGTTCCATTCATACCCAGTATGTACGCGATTGAAGTACTTTGGCTTCCTGGGACAGTACTTGTCATGCCACCAGCACACCTGTGAATCAACATTGACTTCATCATTTGAGCCAAACACTGCGTCTCCTTCCTCCACGGCTCCCATGGCTTTCAATGCATGCTTTTCAAAGTCATCTACAGGTTGGGATGGTTTCAGAGTCATATCCTGAAGGCGACGTTCTTCCAAAACTGACATTCTCTTCTTTTCAAGCATAGCCCGGTCTTCTTCAGGGTCAATTGCTTCTTCTTTTTTGCCACTGTGCACTAACACAGGCGAATATGATCCAGCATACCCATCATCATCATCATCATCATCATCTGCTTCTCCTTCCTTGGTATCTTCTTCAACAGGCATGGACTCTGAAGATATTGCTCGAACAACATTTTCAACATGATAATCTGCTTCTCCTTCTTCTGGCACATCATCTTCTCTCTCAGGTGATGGCTTTTCAAGACGTTTACGCAGCAGTTTTGCGTGAATTTCTTTGAGGCGTGATTTAGCCTTGGAAATTTGGAGCCTCTTGAGAACAGCTTCCCAATATTCAACATTCTTGGCTGTACCGGAGCGCATACAGGATTCAATCCAAGACTGCATAGCTTCCAACTTCTCATACCTCTTTCCCTCGAGCTGGAGCTTCACATCTTGTTCTACGTTGCGATGCAAACCCCTCTCTTCAGCCAGCAATTCTGGTGGCAAGTGCTCCCCACGCAATCTGGCTCGATTCATTGCGTCCCTTTTCCTTGCCTCTGTCAATTCCCAATTGCATACCGCCGAAAGTGCTTCCCAATACTGTGTGTGTGTTTCTGTATCCCTATCCAAACCAAGGTACAAATTGATATCCTCTTGAAGCTCTTCAATTTCCTTCATTGTTACACACTTGAAGACCGTGCAGGGGTCATTGATTTCAATATCAAGGTCATCCGAAGGATCGAGTTGCATGGCAAGAACATCAACCGGCTTGATTCGCCCTTGCTGAATCCGAATCTTCGTCCTGGTTTTGCTTTGGACAAAGTGGAATTCTTCTTCTTTCTTCTCCCAATCTTGAAGCTCGGCTCTAGCTCGCTCTCTTGCAAGCATAGCCAGTTCCTCTTCACGCTGAGCCCTTTCGATCTCGCGTTCTTCTCTGCGCTTCTTCACCTTCTCAATTTCCGCAATTCTCTCTTTCCGTCTTTCCTTTTCCGATTTGAGCAAGAATGACTCGAGAGGAACGCCTCGTGATATGTCCCTGTGGATTTTCTTTTCCCAGATGAACGCGTCATTTAGATTTGAATCTCCAAATGGGTTTGAATCATTTGAGTACCCGGAGAGCTTATGTTTTGCTTTCAGCTTTTCTGCCGCCTTCCTCAATTTTCTCTTGGCTTTCTTTGCCATGTACTCAGCAATCTCTTCATCAGTGATCTTACTCTTCCTCAGCCCATCACTCTCCTCCATCTCAGAGTCACTGTTTAGAATGCAGGTCTGCACATAGGGAAGAATGGAAGATTAACTGGGTTCATTGCTAAAGCTTATAAATGGGAAACATCATATTATAGGAAAACAGTTTACTCATAAGGAACAAGATAGATAAAAACAGTTCCCAACTAATGCACAAGATCTAATAATTGGAAATTACTCATACACATAAAGATTCAATCTTTTGAACACAAAAATATACTTCCTATGTCCCTAAAAATTGACGCAGTTTGATTTTTTTAGTCAAACTGTGACGCCCTTTGAACTTAAATATGGAAAAAGTATCTTTAGTTATAAACTTATAATGTCGGCAGCAAGACCAGCAGAACGGAACAGAGAAGAAGGCAAGAACAGAACAGAGCCAGGAAAAGGACAGAGAAAGAGCAGAACCGAGCAAAAACGGTACTAATTCCCAATTCAATCAATCAATTAATCCAACAATTCAATTCAAAAATTCATCATCAATTACATGAAAATATATCAACGAACCCTAATCTATGAATTAAATCTCACGAGAGATAAATCACTCACCTTGAATCAAATCGACGAAGAGTGAAAAATCGATTGACACAATCTCCGGCGGAATACTCCGGCGAACTCTTTGCGACCTGGGATCTCTGGTTTGGCCTGCCCGCAGCGAAGAGACGAAGAAGAAACTCGATTGACGTGCTGTGCAGCGAGTTTTCCCCAAAAACCCAAGTATATGCTACTCCGTATTCAATGTGGAGAAGTATTGTGTACGGAGTATTTCATATTTATTACTCAGTATTAATATTATATTATAAAATCCTTTTATTTATAAACTGTAACATCTATTTCATTTATCACATTTTACACATAAGTCCAAATTTAACAAAATATATACCGTTGTCACCATTTTACGAGATTAAGTACTAAGCCGTGTTCAGGTCGTTACATATTTTTTTAATCAATGCGAGGGAAGAGAATAATAATGTGGAAGATATGAATATATTTAGAGTAAATTCCATAATTAGTCTTTTATAACAGGGGAGTTTCTATATTTAGTCCTCTATTATCAAATATTATCCCTGTAGTCCTCTTTTTAAGGGTACCTTTCCACAAATGATCCTTTTCTGATCTTCTGTCGTGTTGGTGTTAATTTAAAGGCTAAAAATATAATTTGACGTCAACATTCTGTCTAGTGACGTGTTCTAATATTGGTTAAGCGGACAACACAAAAATAATGACTATGATTGTGGGCTAGGATTCTGACGAAAGATCACATTTGTAGACTATAGTTGTCGTAAAAAGCGACTGTAATTCACAAACGACGCAAACGGAACAGCCTTTGGAATTGTGGATGACAAAAAAGATATATTATTATTGTGAAATTACACTTTTAGCCATCAAATTAACACCAATATGATAGAAGATCAAAAAAGGACTATTTGTGGAAAGATATTAATAAAAGAAGGACCACTTAGGTAATATTTTATAATAAAGGACTAAATAGAGAAACCCTCCTGGATCAATTATAGAATTTACTCATATATTTATTTCATTAATCAAAACTAATACGGCGATGCGGAATAGAAGAAACGTACTCTTTGGATCACATGGTCAGTAAAAGAGAATAATCATAGGATATCTAATACATGTATTTTTTAATTAATTCGAAAAAAGAAAATCATATTTTTTGAAATCTATATGAGAGAGGAGAGTCATATTAATGCGGGGAGATGGATAATGTGGGGGAAATCATATTTATTGGTTATCAATGATGATTGTATAATGGCTACATCAAGTCTTGATAGGGTTGGCCATTACACAAATAGCAAGTTTGTATGGTTTTGTGACCAAAGTAATTGTGACTCTAGATTTACATAAAAATTAATTATGGATTAAATTAAAATTGTTAGAGTACATCCCACATCGGAAAATCCAAGAGTGAAATAATCGGTATATAAGCTCTAAAGTTGAACTAACTAATCGATTGCATTCAATCTTTTAATGTGGTTCAACCCAAGTGTCTTATAGCCCATCGAGTTGTCCATACCCATCCTAAATTCTATCATGGTATCAGAGCTAGTTTTAGCCCACCTCGCTTGTCAAAGTGTCCGTCTAGACGTTCATTCCTAGCGGTCCGTTAGTCTTTAGCCCAGTTGTCCGTATGGAGGTTGTACCCAACGGCCTGTGGCCTGTTTAACACGATTGCTCGTTTGAAAGTCCATACCCAGCGGCTCGTGGTCCTTTAGGTGTTGGCGCTCATAAAAAAAGTCAAGGGAATGGGAGTTCATTTGCAAGTGATCAACCGGTTAGATTCAAAATGGCCCGGTTGTCCACTTGAGGGGGAGTGTTAGAGTACATCCCACATCGGAAAATCCAAGAATAAAATAATCGGTATACAAGCTCTAGAGTTGAACTAACTAATCGATTGAATTTAATCTTTTAATTTGGTTCAACCCAAGTGTCTTATAGCCCAATCCAGTTGTCCATACTCATCCTAAATTCTATCAAAAATAACACATTATACTCCATCCGTCCCCAATTAGATTATAATTTTTTTCTCTTCTCTCGATAACTTTTGATTGTTTACACAATTTCATTAAGTATGTGATAACAACAACAACAACAACCCAGTTACATCCCACAAGAGTAGGGTCTGGGGAGGGTGTGTGTACGCAGACCTTGCCCCTACTTGAAAGTAGAGAGGCTGTTTCCAAAGAGACCCCCGGCTCAACGTCGAAAGTTGTATTGCCTGACTAACTGCTACTTCATTAATTAAAGAAGCGCAGACAGTTTAGAGATCCATTTTGATTTATTCCATCACACCCCAAAGCCAAAAAATGGTGAAATTTTGGCTCCATCGGAGATGATGGAAATAACTGGGATTAAGTATGTGATAAAATAAAATATTTTTGTAACTTCTTGTTTTATAAAACTTTTGACGTAATTTTTTAATATGTAATTTTTATTTCTTATCGATATACCAATTTGTAAATAAAATGATTTCGAAAAGTGAGATATTTCTCCTCGTAAGCCTACAAATTGGGGACGGAGGGAGTATGAAGGCCCTTAATCCTTTTGCTCAAAAAGACAAAGTTCTGTGCTATTTGCACGGTAAAATTGCAATACATCTTGGGTCTGAAATTACACGCGGAGTTAGAACTATGGAGATATTGTTAGAGTACATCCCACATCGGAAGTCCAAGAGTAAAATAATCCGGTATATAAGCTCTTGAGTTAAACTAACTAATCGATTGGATTCAATCTTTTAAAGTGGTTCAACCCAAGTGTCTTATTACCGAATCCAGTTATCCATATCCCATCCTAAACTATCATGGTATCGGAGCCAGTTTTATCCCACCTCGTTTGTCAAGGTGTCTGTCTAGACGTTCATTCCTAGCGGCCCGTTTGTCTTTAGCCCAGTTGTCCGTATGGAGGTTGTACCCAACGGCCTGTGGCCTGTTTAACACGATTGCTCGTCTGGAAGTCCATACCCAGCGGCTCGTGGTCCTTTAGGTGTTGGCGCTCATAAAAAAAAAGTCAAGGGAATGGGAGTTCATTTGCAAGTGGTCAACCGGTTAGATTCAAAATGGCCCGGTTGTCCACTTGAGGGGGAGTGTTGGAGTCTATCCCACATCGGAACTTGTAGTGAAAATAAATCGATATATAAGCTCTTGAGTTGAACTAACTAATCGATTGGATTCAATCTTTTAATGTGGTTCAACCCAAGTGTCTTATTACCCAATCGAGTTGTCCATACTCATCCCAAATTCTATCATGGTATCAGAGCAGGTTTTGGCCCACCTCGTTTGTCAAGGTGTCCGTTTAGACGTTCATTCCTAGCGGCCCGTTTGTCTTTAGCCCAGTTGTCCGTATGGAGTATGTATCCAACGGCCTGTGGCCCGTTTAACACGATTGCTCGTCTGGAAGTCCATGCCCAGCGGCTCGTGGTCCTTTAGGTGTTGGCGCTCAAAAAAAAATCAAGGGAATGGGAGTTCATTTGCAAGTGGTCAACCGGTCAAAATGGCTCGGTTGTCCACTTGAGGGGGAGTGTTAGAGTGCATCCCACATCGGAAGTCCAAGAGTAAAATAATCCGGTATATAAGCTCTTGAGTTAAACTAACTAATCGATTGGATTCAATCTTTTAAAGTGGTTCAACCCAAGTGTCTTATTACCGAATCCAGTTATCCATATCCCATCCTAAATTCTATCAGATAGCCATAAAAGAGTATTCTCATACCATACAACTCATGATCCTCCAAAACAAAGTTACCAAAATTCCAGACACTTGTACAACTTCCTCTGTGCGCTGCACGACCAAAAAAAAAGTCAGGTGAAAGATAAAATCAACCGTCGCTAGTCAGTGTGAAGGCGAGAAGAACTATGGCCAGCGTGAAGACAATGGTCACGCCAGAGAAAACCCACAGTGTTTTGCTATGGGGTTTTTGGCTAGTGGGCCCGCTCGTCTCTACTTCTTCAAGGAGCAATCTGACTTTATCGATGTCGTAGTCCTTGGCAGCTTGCGTTAGCCCACCGTGTATCTTCTCTAGCTTGACCAGCCTCCTGTCTTTTGATTCGTCTTTGACTGGCCAGAATAGGCCTATCATCTTCCATAGACAAATGCCCATGTAGATGGCCACAATCACATCCACACTGTAATGGTGCCGTTCCCTTATTTCTCTCTGAGCGCTGTGCAGCAAGAGTATCCATACAAATGCAGAGCTATATCCACCATATGCTTCCTGCATTAGTTTTGATGAGGTTGAGTGTTTGTTAAAAAAATTAGGCCCTGTTATTTATGCATTAATTTAAGTGCAGTTTGGTAAAATTGGAGTGGAGTTTGGAGCATATGGTTAGCTGGTTCTAGAAACTGCTAACTGGAGCCTATATAAATTACATATATTGTAAAACTAAATTAGATTGTAACTGGGACAGATGTTTGTATAACTCGAATACAAAGTTGAAGAGAATTGGGCCCAAGTCAAAAGCTACGTATTCCACTTATTCCTTTTCTGATTGTATCACTTATTTTGTTGATAATCTAAATAAGACAATTCTGGGTACCAAATCGTATTTATTTGATTGGAAAGGATACGTAACATTTAGAGTATAATTTTATATGCTCAGTTTATATACTCTATTATTTTCCCCAGCTTGAGATGAAATGCAACTATTACTCAGTAGACAGAAGCATAGCACAAGATGGATATGGTAGGAAAACACATTTTAGGATCATACCGTCCATGCCATAGCTGTCAGTACCGCAACAAGCATGTGGCCACTATATATGAGGTCATTACAACCACCTCCAGCTTTCTTCAACAGAAGGTACCATGAAGATGATCCCTCCTCAGCAGTAGGACGTAAGAAATTAATAAGAAAGCTCATTGACCCCCAATCAGGTCGGAACTCCATTTTGTAATCCCCAGTGTCAGCTGAAACGAATAATCATGAATTCTGATTCAGAAGCATTTGATACAATTTACACCAAAGAGGATAGACAAGAAAGAGCAGATGTAAACTTTCGGTCTCATGACAATGTCATTTTTCACCTTTGAAGCATGACTGAATATCTTACTAGTTTTGATCTTTTTCAGTCACAAATAAAACTGACCCGTGAAAGAGTAGAATGCTCTATGTATTGCACCTTGTAAAAAAAGAGATCCAAGTATAAACCCATGGAAAATATGCGAAAAGATCCACATTTCATATGTATTACTATGAAAGAGCCTCATTAATATTGAAGAGAATAAACTAAATAAGGTAAGGATTTTCATTACCATAAAATATTCTAGGCGAATAGGCGATCAAGGTATAAAGATAAAAGGCAACTTCCATACAAAGTAAGAGCAAAATCTCCTCAAATTAATATTCTACCACAATATTCCCAAAATAAGAAAGTCACCAAAATAACAATCTTGCCATATGTGAATTTAAATTTTCATTTATTAAATTGTTTGAGGCCATTGTATTATTTTTAAGTGGTTCAGAAATGACAAGTTTGTGAAATTTGAGGCTTTTTTTGTTTGTGATTACAGCATTGCTCAATTCTGTCCAACAAAAAGAAAATACCGTATGCAGTATCCCAGCTAATCACTTGGCGTATAGCTTGAGAATCTTTGGCATAGGGAACATAAAACTTTTGAGCCCAGCGGTGAGGATGATGAGGGACAAGAAACCGAGATTCTGCGCACCAAGGTCTTGCAGATGGAAGAATGGTAGACACGAATGTAATGGTCCGAAGAAGACGGCCAACACCCATGGTGAACATGTATCTCGCCCCAAGACCAAGACCCGGAGCTTCAACGGATTCGAATAGTACAGAAAAGGCAAGCATTATAAACAGCATAAGAAAATGATGCAATCCAATGATACGAGCTCTCAATATATCAACCATTACTTGTGGAAGCTTCTCATTCAATGCCAGAAGCAACCACTGGCCTGTATCAGGAAGAGGCGATGTTTCTCTGTGAGATTGTAAATCAAATCTCAAGTTAGTCTATAATTATGTTCATTATTATCATACCATAAATGTATAAACAGATTCCTCTCATAAACATTGATTAGCACGGACTTAATCTTTAATTAATGCGCAATTAATGAACTTAAACTTGTCAAATTGATCTTCTACCTTTACCAAAATTAAAAACAAATCTGGGAATTAAATTCCCAGATCCACTCTAATAAGGTAACTAACTCTTACAGGATTTCATATAACGAGAACAAATCCATGGAATTCCAGAAAACTGGTAATATTATAATGAAATACAAAAATAATTGCGCACTGTAAGCTACGTACTTGTGCCAATCGAGGCCGAGCACGGCGGTGACGGAACGGACGGAAATGGCTTCAATGAGGAGGGCGGAGAGTAAGAAGAGCATAGAGAAGACGAAAGGAAGCGCGGAGCGCAGCTCGGCGGACCAGTGCTTGTAGAAGGGGACGCGGACGACGGCGGCGATTGCCAGGGCGGTCCATAGCACAGGTTGAACCGACGCGTGCAAAGGCGGCGAGATGAAGCGGAGGTAATCCACTCCGATGTACGCTATGGCGGCGAATCCCAGCCCGCCGCCTCGCCGGTTTCGCAAGATCGGCGCTCCCCACGACGGCAGGCGCCTCATGTTCAGCTCCGGTAAGTATCGTACTCGAAGCAGGTTATGATTATCTGGTCCATTGGCTTTTACCTCTTGACTTGACTTCCTCGACTCCCTAAGCTAAGCTCTACAAGTTTATAATGTTCTTCCCATTCATTATTAACTCATTCTTATGGAGTATGGCTCACTCCATTTCTTTTAGATGGTCTATTTTATGTTGCGTGTTATATATATATATATATACACACACACACACATACACATATACTCACTCCCTCCCTAAATATTTGCCACATTTGTATTCTTGAGACAAAATATCAAGATTTTTTAATTCATCTTATTTACATATTGATATAGAAATAAAAAATAAAATTACATATAAAAAAACTACATGAAAAGTTTTTCGAAATAAGAGGTGCCAAGAATATTTTATTTTATCAAATAACCAATGAAAACGTAGAAATAAACAAAACTTCCCACGACTGCTGAAAAAGCAAACGTTACAAATAATTTGGGACGAGGGAGTATGTGTGTGTGTGTGTGTGTATATATATATATATAGTGTGTGCTTATTGTGAAAATGATGCTTGGTGAAAAAAAATAAGAACGATCTTGATTCATAGGATAAGATGAATTGAATAGCCAAGATTTTGCATCACCCTTGATCATTGATGCATTTTATTTATAACAAGTTTAAGTCATATTTAGAAAATACATACCTCCGTCCCAGAGTATTTGTCCATTTTCATTTTTACACACCATCCAATATACTTCTTTAATCCATTTTATCTTGTAATTTGTATAATAAAAAATTATATATTAATAATTTATATCTTAAGACAAATCAAACAAGATCACACATGACTATATTTATGCTTACACATTGAGAGAATTTGATGAGTCAAAGTGCTTAGATGAACAGTTCCAAAAGTCAAAACTAGACGAATACTCTGGGACGGAGGGAGTAGTTTGTTTATACAAGATTCAAACCTAGTGCTTTATTTATAAAAAAAATCATTATCTAGAATATATAGAGATGCATCGTATGTTTGTAAGGAGAATTTCATTATCCAATATGTGAAATTTACTTTGATTTTGCAAATGCATAATAATCCTTGACCTTAATTCTAATAATACACCTTGTCATGTAAATACATTACTTCGACTCTGATGATGTACAATAACAATAATAAAAATCAATGCAGACTTTGTTCTTTAAGAATTAACAAAAACGCAAACACGTTACAATAGTTTTTAGTAATATATTTTAAGAAATCTCATAGGTCAAACATTTTATTCAAAAAAATGAATCAAAGTGTTAAAAAATGCACTTACTATTTCTTAAGATTAACCCCATGAAATCCATGAGAAAATCTATTAAATTTTGTCACTATGACTTCTTTGTTCATCTTAAATTTTCTTGTTAGACACGAAAAACATTTTGTTTGGCACAAATATGAATTTGAAATTTTAAGAAGAGTAGGATTGTTTTTATTATAAGTAGTTATAAATATGAATTTTAAATTTCATTGATATTTTTAGAAGCTGATTTTAGAATTTAAAACTAGTATTTTGATTATTTTAGAAGTTCATTTTATAGATTTTTGTTAGTCACAAATATAAATTTTAGTTTTCACTCAATTGCATAAAATCTCAGTAAAGTTCTAACTTCTTCCATAATATTTCATCCGTTTAGATTTAATCATCTCATTTGACTTTCTTTGTGAAATTTTGTATAGGTTATCCTCGATATATAAAAAAAAATAATTGGGTTTCAATATAAATGTATTGCCAATAATTTATTTTTGAAACTAAGGAATCTCTTCATGTTTGGTAGCTCATATTTTGGAAGAAAAAAAATGAAACTCCTATTTTGGTAATACTTTCTTTATGTTTTACTCCTATTCTGATATTTTTCTTTCCAAACAATTATTGTGACACTATGTAAATTCTTCTTGTTTTACCCAGAGCTGCGAGAGATGAAATTGTAGGTGCAACCATTAATTCTTCAAATTTGTGGTCGTATTGTAAAGTTTATACGTTGACGACGAATATGAGATTGTCTTCATCTACGTCCTCTTACGCAGAAAGAGATACACAAGATTTTTTTGAAATGATAATCAAAGTTGGAGATGGAAAGTCTGGACAAGTAATTGATGGAACTCCTGAATTCTGCTCGAATATACACAAGTTCTCCATCAAAAGTATAGTGAACTTCACTTGTTCGGACCTATGGGAGGATATGAAAAGCTATTTTTTTCCGAATACAAGGCACTACTAACACTCACGCTCGAAGTTGTAAAGATGGTAAATGAGTTTGTCTTATCCTTCATTCTCGGAGATGAAATGGTGTATTTGAATTCTGATTTATCATGCCAAAAAAATTCAGATGCAGGTGTTGATGGCAACTGGATAACAGTTGATTTCTTGAATGAAATCCAATATTCGGGGTTCCTAAACCACAAGATAGTTTAAAAAAAGGGTACCAATTATGTTACTAAGAAACATTGACCAAAAATCTGAATTGCGTAATGTTACAAGATTAATTATTGACGAGATGCAAAAGAACATTATTCGTGCTATTGTGGTTTCGGGAAATTGAGTTGGGGAAAAAGTTTAGATACCCTGGATGAATTTGGTACCATTTGATATAGGATTACCCTTGAAGTTACAGAGAAGACAATTTTTAATAGTCTTATGTTCTTCTATGACTATCAACAAAAGTCAAGGTCAAACATTGTCGTTTGTTAGATTATTTTTAACCAAGTCGAGGTTCACTCATGATCAGTTTCATGTTGTTGTTTCACGAGAGAATACAAAAACAATATTAAAAATATTAGTCTTAGATGACAATGGAGATCATTGCAACCATACCAAAAAATGTTTTATACTTAGAAGTCTTTCAGAAAATTTGGGATTAAAACAAACTTTGTTGTGTACACATTCAATTCTTCAAATATTATTCGTTTTACTCGGGGCTGTCAACGGATAGCCGAAAATCCGATTACCGCGCGCATCTGAATTCGTTTAAAGAGGAAATATCTGCATCCGTTTTAAACGGATGTTATCCGTATCCGATTACTAAACGGATACAGATTTGGTAATTGTATATCCGATTCGTTTAAAATCCGATCCGAATATGCATCCGTTTAAATAACCGTTTATCCAAATATCTGATCCGTTATATATAGTTTTTTCTAATTTTTTATGTTTATATTTTGTTTTTCTATTGATATTTCAAAATATAAGAAATGTTTATATACAAAATAAATGTGTAGACACATAAAGAAATGTACAGACATATAAAAATATGTGTATATGTATGTTGGGTATATTTTTTTATCATATGAAGTTATCGTAGAATATCATAAATCATGAAAACAAAGAAAATAATTGTCCCATACCAAATTATAGTTGATTTAATAATAGTTTGACTTTAATCTAATTTAAAATTAAACTATTGTTTAATTAGATTTTAAAAATTGGAAACGGATACGGATATATCCGATATCCGACCGATATCCGACGGATGCGGATACAGTTTTGATTTTCAGTATCCGTCTAGATCCGTATCCGAATTCGATATCCGACAAAAATAAACGGATACGGATTTGGTAATGACACATCCGATCTGATTAATATCCGTTTACACCCCTAATTTTACTTTCGGCTTTTTGTCTATGTTATAATCATATAAGAAATATATTTTCTTTATCCTGGAAAAAAATTTGCATTGAAAATTTTTAAAATCTACAAAAAAAATTATTCGATCTCGTGCGTAGCACGAGTCAAAATACTAGTATCTAATAAATCATAGAGTTGAAAATAAAAAAGCCTGAACATGTGTTTCAACACTTCCAAGTTAATCAAAACTTGAACCAGATAAACTTTTCCATAAGTCTTAATCATAGAGAATAATCAGTCCCCCTATTTTGGCTAAAATCCACGATTGGTCCTTAAATTTTAAGAGTTATACGTGATTGGTCCTTCAAGTTTCGAAAATCCACAATTCATAACCCTCCACACGAAGTCTTTCAAATTTCAAAAGTCCACAAATAGTCATTCAAGTATTTATCAATGCTCTAAATGCGTTCCTTTTTATGGTACACGTTAAAAGATAAACAAATTACTAATTCAAGTGTGTGTGTATATATATATATATATATACACACGCACACACTCCGTATATATATAATACGAAGTACTTGTACCTATACGTAGGTGATTGTTTTTTATGTATAGGGAATTTATGGTTTCCACAATTCCAATCAAAGTTTTGTGGTCTCTATTATAAAAATTGAACCCGTTGAAAGTAAAATTGTCTTTGGCTTTTACTATGTACTTTGTTTACATTTTAACGTGTGTTATAAAGAGAGTGCATTTGAAGAGTTGATAGATAAGAAAAATGCTAGAGTCACAAACTTAAAGTTCACAAATTTTACAAACTTGCCTTTTGTGAAATTTTAATTAAAATATTTTTTAATAATTCAAAGATTAATTATGGACTAAATTGAAGAGCCCTATTTGGAGGGTTCGATTTAAGTCCTCTTTCCCATCTAAGATACGGTCGTCACCCGTAGCGCGTTTGAGATGAAGGAACAACCCTAGACACAGTAACGCCGCCGCCTCATGAAAACATCGCCGCGAACATAGCAAGCGTAGGTTTGGATCAAAATTTACGGTTCCGATTCCATTTCACGTCTTCGGCTTAAAGGTTAGGGTTTCGTTTTCGATATAATTACGCCTACAATTTTTTTACTTTCGGTGATGGAGTAACCTTGTATCTTTTTTGCATTTAAAAATCTGCAATTTCTTGGAATTCATTGAAAACAGGCTTGATTTGGATTTTCCTATAATATGGAATTCCAGGAAGGAATGGATCTTGATTTAGGGTCTTCAGGGATCGATGGTGTTGATTCGGTGTCTTTTGGGATGAATGTCATGTCAGGGTATCCATCAAAGAAACTGAAAACTGGTGAGGAGCAAGTAAACTTTGACAGAATGCCCTTGTTGTCCTGCATCTGCAAGATGGATTACCTTCTTCGAACTTTTGGGGATAAGGTGAAATTTGACCAGGAAACGGTTTCTGGCAAATACATCCTCTTTTACTGTTTCTTCTATCAACTTTCTCCAGTCGATGTGATGCATGGGTACTCCCCTATGGATCTCTTTAAGCTATGTGCTGATCTGTATTCTGTTCGAGACGATTTTGAGATGGTAGTTGTTCCAAAGCCCGGTGTAGAAGACAAATATGACTTATGTTTGAAAGCATTCTTCTCTTTTGTTCCCACTTACTCTCTTGTTGTACCAACCAAGGAGTCACATCGTCGTAACTTCATGTGTGACTGCCTCGGCTTGGTTTATCCGGGTACTTTTAAATGCCTCCTTGTGAATGTCAAGAAAGGCATTGTGGTCCATGGAGGTTTTGACTCCATGTTGCATCTTGCAGAGCATCTTCAGAAACTACAAAAAGAGAGTTCATTCGACTGCCTGCGCTCTTATGAAAGGATTTTTAAAACACTATGGCTTGTGATTCCCAAAGAGCAGAAAAATCCATTCCCACCTATACAAGCATGTCCTATAGCCAATAAATTGATGGGTGTGAAACTTGAATATGGACTATGGAGATCATATCAATGAGATGGTTTCTGAATAAAAAAAGTTATCTCCCATCAAGATTGGTCAGTCTTTTGATGTTATCTCCTTTTTGTCTGGTAAGGATGATATGAATTACCTTTGTCGTAATGATGGTAAGACCAGGAGAGTTGAAATTGGTAACATACATTTAGTGGAAAATACATTCTGGATTGTTGTTTTCACTTTCCTGTCTTCCGCCAAGAGTTTAATGCACGTCGTGCCCAGGCTATAGCAACTGCATGCTCCGAGCTGTATTCCTCGAGAAGCGACTTTGAGATGGTAGTAGTTGCAAAGATGAACCAATTGGCCAATCACGAGGTGTTTTTCAATCATTTCATGTCGGGATTCCCCCCTTCATGTCTAGTAGTACCATTCCAGCATTCAGAGCACTGTGATTTTATATGCAAAACCTTGACCTCGCAGCATCTGAATGTGATGATATAAAATGTCTCATTTTAACTAAGGATACGGATATCAAGAGAAATATTTTATATTGTGAATATCCCTACTTTGCCCTTGACCATGGTGCCGATGCGTTTCCTTTTGCTGACAAGAAATTGCGTGAGGTTAGCGCAAATCACCATCTGTGGTGGGATGATGGTGATATTCTACCATTCAAGCTTGAAGATCTCTTAGGGTGCAGTCCGTCTGATGTTCTTAATAAGACTGTTTCACCAGGCATCCATGAGAAGGTGACTATCTTGGAACTCAGCAGTAAGGTTGTCGGGGTGTAGGCATGCATTGGAGGATATCTCATTCCCACTCTAGGGAAGGTCTATCAACAATGCAGAGCTCAAGGGCTAGATTTTGAAATAGTGCTGGTCTATCTACCCTAGATTGCTGATAGTCTTGACCCAGAGGTCCACATAGCGAATATTGAGAGAGTGTTGCTGGAGTGAAATATATTGTGGTGTTGGTTTCCCCCATGTTTTGACGGGCGAGATTAGCTCTTCAACAGCTCTGTAAGCTGTAGGGTCAGGCGATGTACTGAAGGGTACCATACAGATCATATCATCATCATGGGACCGCATGGTACATTTGTCGAACCTCATGGAGCATAAATCATGAGCGTGTTTGGGATTGATGCGTATCCGTTTTGTAGGGATGGCATTTTTGAAATGAAAATCTCTGACCTATCTTTATCCAAACTAACTTTGGGATGTTCCCGTAGAGTAATTACGTGATTTCGTGGAGCACGAAACCGGCGTGTTCCGTGATTTTGGAAATTATACATAAATTGTGCAAATTAAGCAAAGCAGATTTCAAGAGAATGAAACTAAAGAGCTAAAACCAAATCACTTCGGTCTCGAGAGCACCACTGTAAGCCTCAGCAAACGGGTAGCTTAAAAGTTCCAAGTGCTTGTTGAACTTTAGCATTATTTTTTTGAGACAGATTCTCTGACCTATCTTTGCCCAAACTAACTTTGGATGTTGCCGTAGAGTAATTCTGTGATTTCGTGGAGCACGAAACCGGCGTGTTCCGCCCGCCAACGCTGGTTCTTGTTTTTCCAATTAACTTTAGAAGTGCTCTTGTTTCTATCCTCTAACATCTTAGAAGTGAGGTTATAAAAACGAGCAAGAAGACACGCATTTGTGAAGTATTGCACCTGGTCGAACCACTGAAGTTTGTCACCATGTTTGTCCTATCTCTCCCTTCTCCACTTTAAGGGGTTCTCTTCAGTGGACGACGGCCAGTGCTCCGAGAGCATCACGACAAGCAGATTTGTTTAATGAGAAGAGATATTGAATAATTCCTTAGCCCATATTCCAACAATGACTTCATTTCAAAAATGTCTCCAATCACGAGGTGTTTTTCAATCAATTCATGTCGGGATTCCCCCCTTCATGTCTAGTAGTACCATTCCAGCACTCAGAGCACCGTGATTTTATATGCAAATACCTTGACCTCGCAGCATATGAATGTGATGATATAAAATGTCTCATTTTAGATAAGGATACAGATATCAAGAGAAACATTTTATATTGTGAATATCCCTACTTTGCCCTTGACCATGGTTCCGATGCGTTTCCCTTTATTGACAAGAAATTGCATGAGGTTAGCGCAAATGACCATCTGTGGTGGGATGATGGTGATATTCTACCATTCAAGCTTGAAGATCTCTTAGGCTGCAGTTCGTCTGATGTTCTTAATAAGACTGTTTTACCAGGCGTCCATGAGAAGGTGACTATCTTGGAACTCAGCAGTAAGGTTGTCGGGGTGTAGGCATGCATTGGAGGATATCTCATTCCCACTCTAGGGAAGGTCTATCAACAATGCAGAGCTCAAGGGCTAGATTTTGAAATAGTGCTGGTCTATGTACCCTGGATTGCTGATAGTCTTGACCTAGAGGTCCACATAGCGAATATTGAGAGAGTGTTGTTGGAGTGGAATATATCGTGGTGTTGGTTTCCCCCATGTTTTGACGGGCAAGATAAGCTCTTCAACAGCTCTGTAAGCTGTAGGTACAGGCGATGTACTGAAGGGTACCCTATAGATCATATCATCATCATGGGACTGCATGGTACATTTGTCAAACCTCACGGAGCAGAAATCATGAGCGTGTTTAAGATTGATGCGTATCCGTTTGAGGAGCTCACCTTGGAGTCATTGTTATGGGCCAAGATATTATTCAATATCTCTCAGAGCATTGACCGTCGTCCACTGAAGAGAACCTCTTAGAGTGGAGAAGGGAGAGATGAGACAAACATGGTGACAAGCTTCAGTCGTTCGACCATGTGCAATACTTCACAAATGCGTGTCTTCTTGCTCGTTTTTATAACCACACTTCTAAGATGTTAGAGGTTAGAAACAAGAGCACTTCTGAAGTTAATTGAAAAAACAAGAACCATCGTTGGCGGGCGGAACACTCCGGTTTTGTGCTCCACGAAATCACGGAATTACTCTACGGCAACATCCCAAAGTTAGTTTGGGCGAAGATAGGTCAGAGAATCTGTCTCAAAAAAATAATGCTAAAGTTCAACAAACGCTTGGAACTTTTAAGCTACCCGCTTGCTGAGGCTTACAGTGGTGTTCTCGAGACCGAAGTGATTTGGTTTTAGCTCTTTAGTTTCATTCTCTTGAAATTTGCTTTGCCTAATTTGCACAATTTATGTATAATTTCCAACCTTTCTTAAGTATGATGGTGGCGGTAATGATTTGAGTATACCATGCTAAGGATAATCTCCCTATTTACAATAACATCAGGAGAAGTATTCCCGCCCAAACTATTGCCCTAAGGTCAGCGAGCAACCTGCCATATCAACCATCCACTTACCACTAAGTAGTCTGTATTTTTTCAACCGCTTACTTCTCACTTTCTCAGAGTAGATCTTCCTGCCGACGTTTTCCATGGAATTTGCCGCTGGTACATCAATTTCATGACGCAAGCTTCACACAGAGAGGGAGAGAAGGCTAAACATCAGAGAGAGGGAGAGAGAGCTACGGGAGCTAGGGTTGTATCTTTCTCGAGATAGCCCGTGTTCGCAGTTCAATCAACTATCATTTTCTTCGCGGCTATGGTACATGCAAATTTCCCCATCAATTTATTCATTCTGCCTTAGTTATCAAGGTTTCTAATCTATCTTCTTTCCATCTAGATTTTAATCTGCACAAAAAAACTATCAGAGCCTAAACAAGAAGAGCATGTGTCTTGATGAAGATGATGATTGGTGAAGATAAGGTTGTAGGGAGGTATAATTATTGACATATTATAGAGTATTTTCCACACAAATCAATTGTTTCAATTTATATGTATTGAGATCCTGATACATTTCATGTGAAATTGGGTAATATGATTCTAGGAGGGTGTTTAATTCGCAAATTGTTAATCCTAGGGCAAATCCCTAATGTCTGAAGGGAGACGAGGCAGGAGGACGGACTACAACACTAGGCTAGAGTTTCGACCATTAAATTCAGACAATAACTACGGACTATACGCTCAGGGTAACAACCTCTTCTTTTTTTCTTTTGAAATTTCTGAATATGTATGGCATGATCTTGCATTATTGTCCTCTTTTCTTTGATGTAGGGATAATGTCTCTCGCTTTGGATTCTTGCCGTAGGTCAACAACGTCACACTTCAACAACACCACCACCATTTTAAGTGGTATTTTCTTCTTTTGAATATATTTAAAAATTTGGACTTCTCGAACAACCAATGAATTAGAAGTCATTTATCACATTTAATTTTACTACTTTGTGATGTTTAAATAAGCTATGGGTAAATAATTTGATAACCTAAAGTATGATAATATTGCAACACATAAGTCTTAAAGTTGGGTTTAGTTTTAAGACCAATAGACCATTATATCGTATAGTCAAGTGCAATGTTTTCTCTAAAGCTTTTGTCACTCCCCATAGGATCATAAAGTGTTTATTACCTCAAATGTGAAGCCACTAGATGCATGATTCAAAGATTGGTCAATGCATTTCAAGGAAAGGTACAAAGCTAGCCTAAGAAGTTATCATCCCTTTGTGGTGACACTTTAATAAATTAGTAAAATACTTCAGTTATGATTCTAAAATGTGGCACCAGGATGTTCTTCAACGGTTGGTTAACTAATGAATTTAATTAAGTTAAAGTTCATTACCATAGTCTTTGGAAAACTGTTCCTGTCTAAACAATTGGGCAGTTGTGGCTTAGATTTTTAGTTCTTCACACACATCATTTAGTCCCCTGCCTCCCACAATTACACACACATAGCAGGCTTCACAGATAGATTCTTACAATACATAACAGGGAAGACATAGAGAACGGATGGCTATGGATGGATTCTTGGAGGAGGTATTGTGGAGGCTCTTGATGGGATTCGTATTGGTGATTGCTTCTTAACATGATACATACATCAAATGATGGGAAAAATAACTTTGGTTGTGAGAGGAAATGAGGTATCAAAGTTTTATTTATTTTAAACTTACATACATTATATATATATATATATATATATATATATATATATATATATATATATATATATATATATATATATATATATATATATATATATATATATATATATATATATATATATATATATATATATATATATATAGGGGCCGGTTCACGTGAGAATGCACCTTGGTGAAAGAAATAAGAATGAAATCTAGCCCTTAGATCTGATGTATTGTGCGACTCAGATTGCATCATGCGCTAAGATTTTAAGATGGTGCATTTTCAAAGGATTTTGGTGCATTTTGACATGATGCATTTTCAAACCATTCTGGTGCACATAATTTTGATGCAATCCTGACCCTTAGATCTCATAATCTAAAGCACCAGATTCATTCTTATTTCTTTCATAAGATCGCATTCTCACTTGAACATATATATATATATATATATATATATATATATATATATATATATATATATATATATATAGGGGTGTAAACGAACCGAATCGAAGTGAATACCGATATATTTGAATTTGTATTTGTTTAATTTTTTCGAATCCGAATATGAGACGAATTCAAAATAAGATTTGAATAAGTATTTGATTAATATTCGAATAGTTATCGAATCATAAACGAATATTTGAATAATCATACTATATAATTTATATGATGGACCAACATCAATTTGTAATTTAACTTACGACACTCTTTATACTATGCTATATTCCGTATATAAAAACATTAATACATTTGCATCTTACACAAATTATATTTTATAAAATATAATTATTAAAAATCATATGCTTTTGATTTTCGTGTTACGTTAATTTATTGAATTCTTAGTATTTTAAATACACTTTATACTATATTACTTTGCCCGACTTTTGATGTTGAAAATATGGTCTGTGTATATATACATTTATTCAAAAGGTAGAAAAGATGATTATTTTGCTAGAAATCATTCTAAGTGGTAAAAAAGATGTGATTTTTGTTGTTCAAAGTAAATGTATATAAAAAATCACATTGAACAAAGTAAATCATCTTTACTTTACCACCCTCCGGACTCAGTGCATACTGCAACAACCAGTGATACATCTTTTTAATAAGGTAGAAAAGATGATTATTTTGCTAGAAATCATTCTAAACTTATTCAGACATGCTTTGTCTCTTTTTCCCATATTGCTTCCAGTGGTATACGTTCTCTTCAAGAATTCATTCTAAACTAATTTTTAATAAATCTAGGTTCTCAAACAATTGTTGATTATGAATTCATTTTTTTTCCAGATTCACTAGAAGGTTGAGGTTCATAAGTGTCCCTTCATTTAATCCTAATCTTATCCTAAGGTAAAATATTTCTTTTACTCTCTTTTGAATTTTTGAACTATATGCTAGATAAATTTAGGTTCAATTTTGTGTCAAATTGTTTAAATTTTCCATAATGTAGGGGGTGTAGCTACCCTTTATTTTGATGCAATCTCTTCCCCATTCGTAAACTCATGTACATAGAAGGTGTGTGCTCACACTTTTAAAGTATACTTCCTCCGTCCATAATTAAAGTTCCCTGTTTGACCGGGCACACACTTTAAGAAAATGTAAAAATTTCCTTGACTTTCCCAAAATACCCTCCACCTTACCCCACTTCCCCACCCATTCCTATCCTGCTTTCCTGCCCAAATTACTGCCCCCAAGCGGCCAGAACAAAATTCTGGCAACCCAAAGAGATCAATTTTCCGGCCAGAACAAAATTCCAGCGACCCGAAGAGATCAATTTTCCGGCCAAAGAAAATTTTGCCTGGCTTCAACATTTTAGAATTCGCGTGGGCATGTTTTCAGGCCTAAATCAAGCTGTCTCGCACCATGATGGAGGAATAGAAGATCTGAAGATGAAGAAGGTTTGAAGAAGAAGATCCTTCCTCGCCGCTGATCTCCTTACAGATCTGAATCGGATTTCTCAGATCTGCTAGAGATATGAGCGGTCAAATCGAAAAGAGGAAAAGAAATAAGAAGAGATGAAAATGGAGGGCGGCTGGACCAAATCCGAAGGGTGGAGGTGAGAAGAAAAGAAAGAAGAAGAAGAGAGGAAGAAGAAGGAGAAGGAAAAAAAGGTCAGTGGAATGGGAAGAGGGGGGGAGAAGAAAAGAGAGAGGAAGAAGAAGGAAATAAGAACAAGAAGAAAAAGAGGAGGAGAGAAGAGAAATGGGAAGAAGGAAGAAAAAGAAAATATGGATGGGAAGTTCCTGGAGAAGAAGAAGAAAGGACACAAAAGAAAAGGAAAGGAGAAGAAAGAGAAAGGGGGGGGGGCTGTCGCAAGAAGGAAAGAGAAAAAAAAGAAATAGGAAGGGCATTTAAGTCATTTTAATAAAGAAAACTTACTAAAAAAAGGAAATGGGAACATTATTTATGGACGGACCGAAAAGGAAAGTGGGAACTTTATTTATGGACGGAGGGAGTAGCAAACAGAGACTAGAAAAAGGCTCCACAAGTTATTGAATTCTTTTGACATTTACATTTGAGATATTTTATTCTTTTTTGTTGATTATTTTTTTACTTAGGTCATTTTAAAATGGTCTTTCTTCAAATAAAGGAGGGCCTGATTGCCACAAAAAAATGTATTGACCGTATGAGATGTTTCCTTTTCTTTTTGAAAGAGATATGAAGAGCTCTTTGTGCATTCATTAAGATAATTCATCCTCTTTTATCAAGTGTTTAACAAAAAAATTCATTTGCCGATTACAAATATTGCATTTTGTCGTGAGATGACCTTCACTGGAAATACATCATGTTTTTATCTCGACCTTTGCTCATGCATTGAAGCCTAAAAAATCTGATTAATGAGTTAGTATTTTATGTTTTTTGTTCACTTATATAAGCTATGAAAAGTCTAATTATAAAGAAACTAAATGAAGGGAACCAGAGTTTCTGCACCAGTTTCTTTTCTACCTTGGATTCTGAATAAGTTGCAAACAAAATTTGCAGGTTTTATGATCTTATAATGTGTTTTAGCTCCCCGATTGTGTTGTTTGTGTGTTTATATATTTTTTAGTAAATTTCATGAAGCTAATTGTCTTTGTCTTGGTGTTTAATCTGTTTATTATTTTTGTTTTATTATTGTTCAGGTGTCAATGGATTTGGAGTTTGAGCATTTTCTTATTAGTTGAGATTTTCTTATGTTGCCGGAGTCTTTGCTTGAATATTTTGTTTCAGGCGTCAAGTTTTTTGTTGCATTTTTTCCTCATGACAACAAACATACATTGTTTTGTACGGAGTATTTTACAATTATATTTATAATTATATTAATATACTTATTTATTTGTGTGTGTTACATTTGAAATTTTATTTAGATGTTTATTCTATGAAATGCAATTGAGACTTTGAAACAAAACAATATTTACCGTGCAACGCACGGGTAAGATCTAGTTTCTAATAAATCATAAATAAGATCTAAGGCTTGAACACCTCTTTCAACCCTTCCAAGTAAATAGAAGCTTGAACCTAATAAACTTTTCCACAAGTCTTAATTCTTGAACTTTATGAGTTGTACATGATTGGTCTTTCAAGTTTTAAAAGTTTATAAATAGTCTTTCAAATATTCATAACTCTCCACACAGAGTCCTTCAAATTTCAAAAGTCTATTAATAGTACTTCAAGTATTTATCAACCCTCTAAATGCAATCTTTTTCATGGTACACATTAAAAGATAAATAGATTACTACTTGTATGTATGTGTGTGTGTGTGTGTGTATAGACACACACAATGAATTAAAATATTAACAGTATGCCAAATTATTGGGATAAGAAAATATTTTTAATGTATTATTTTAATACTGTAAATTTTTACTAATATATTTAAAGAGATATTGTTAGTTAAACATTAAACTTGAAAATCAAATGATAAAGTTAAAAAGGAACGGAAGAAGAAAAATTTTCGTGATATATCAAAAATTTAAAGATTTATGAATTAAATGTGAATGGAGGGAGATTTGAATTGTCAGGAATGTCATTACCGAAATCATTTCATATTTTTTCGAAAATCCATTTCATATTTTATCAAAAATCGCTTACAATTCTCATTACAAGTACGTGTAACATTTTCATCAAAACTACCTCGTATGAGCATGTCTACTATCGCTATGTGAAACGTAACTATTCCTTAATTCAATTGCGGAGTATTTAATTAGTGTGTTTTTTTCACCCTTTTAGAAATAATGCAATCCAAAATATGGCAAACATTGTTAAGATCATATGCACACAATAATAATAATAATGATAATAATCAAACAAATTACCCTTTCATTCTACATTATACACATTCTAAGACTGATTGTTGTTTTAGTTTCTGGGTTTTGGGGTTCTGTTTGCATGCCTAAAGTATCGAACTATGAATGCAAGAGAGAATAACAATGCCGAGCCTGCGACGATAATGGGAGCACATATCACGCTGCTTTTCTCCCGAACCTCTTTTCCCATGTCTTCTTCTTCTTCCCTCTTCTCAACTCCGGCTTCCAGTGTTGGTAATGGATGTTCTTCTTCATGATCTTCACCAGTTTTAGGCAGAACTTTTTCTTCTTCATGAACTTCACCAGTTTTAGGCAGAACTTTTTCTTCTTCATGGACTTCACCAGTTTTAGGCAGATCTTCTTTTTCTTCTTCATGTTTTGCAGAGTTGATTCCTGATGTCAAGCATTCAACATGGCATTCAATATGAAACATGTTCCTTACAAGTTGTTGGCTTTAATTTGATTTTTAAATTTGACACAATTATGATCAAATTCGGGTACTTCAAAATACGCCATGTATACAGTTTTGAGTTACCAAGTTCATTTACCTGACGAAGATTCTGGGTGTTCGCGCTTTGGCTTCACTTCGTCTCCATTGGATCCCATTCCCCCTCGAAGGGATACATCGACTATACTTTGTTTGGTTTCTTGATCATCATCATCATCTGGTTTCTTTGCCATTTCTGGATGATCTTCAAATCTTTCCTCTTTCCCTTCTGCTTCTAGATCATCACTTCGTGTAGGATCAGAAGGCCCTCCCAAAGAATCATGATGATTATTATCGGTTTCTTTTCGCAATTCGACGATCTCAGCTTCTTTGAGGGGGCTTTCTGGAATTTCATAGGGCTCTTTAATTTCCTCAATCAATGTCCCAACTATCCCTTCCACTCTCTTTGGCATTGAAACAGTCAATAAAGATTCATCTTCTGCAAACATAGCTTCTATATCATCCAAAGACACTCCTTCAGGAATTCTAAATCTTTTCTTCAACTTCCATGTCTCAGTTCCTTTTGTTTCCAGTCTCCCCCCCACCATAACTATCACCTCAACTGGTTTCTCGCAACGCATCTCCATTATAGTCCCATCCTCATTTATTCCAATCTGTATATGCTTTGTTTCATAACCTGCAAAATGTCTCTCTTACCAATTTTAAAAGGGAAATAAAAACAAACAGGTGGTGGGCATGAATGGGAGGATGAAGAAAACTGGAAGAGATAGAACCTTTAAGATGGACAGTCAAGATAAGCATGTTGTGGGTTTCAGCAGACTGGAAAAAATGGCCCTTAACATTTTTTGAGAGCTGCAAATTCAAATAACTGGACACATATGATGCATTCTTTATCGTGACCTTCATCCCAAATTCAAGATCCATTTTTTTCTTTTTTTTTTTTTACCGAAGCAGGTTTGTTAAATGCATATATGTATATGATGGGAAAGTAGAGAAGAAGATGAACTTTATTAACTCAGGGGATTCTTTACTTCACCCAGAGGTAAAAAGACGGCCGCCATTAAACAGAAAAATAATAAAAATAATAATAAAAAGATGGTGTGAGATTTGAATTGATTCCCCAACAGCAAGTTGTGCTTCCATTGGACATCAAGCTATGGAATTCCATTCAAAAAGTTTTGTCCAGAATGAGTCTGTGCAAAGGAAATATACCCAGAGAACCCAGCTAAGAATATGTTTAACAAAGGAAAAGCCAATCATTTCATTAGTTGTTTACCATTTGAGCATCCACACCAACTCCACAAGTCATCTCAGATAGATTAGACTTGCGTCATCAACTCATAATGGAAGAACAATGGACTGGATTTTCTTTACTGTATCTATATATTTTGGAATTTATTAAAGGTAAGTCATTCTTTTTTGTTCATAAAAGATTCCTCCTTTTCTTTTTATCAAAAAATTCCCTCCCTCTCCAGATTTAAGTTTCAACTTATTTCTCGGAAAAGTTGAAATTTTGTTATTAAAAATTATGTAGCAAAGAAAAAAAATATACATTTCTTAAAAGGGATAAGAACTTTAATTATATTCATAACAGAAGAATGACAATTTAAGTACGGAGAATGTGATAGAAAGTGTAAATAAATTTGTGTAATTTGTTTAGAAGAGATAATTGTGAGTCACATGTAGACTTCTTCTAAAGGAAATAAAGTTTGAATTGTTCTTCTAGGCACCAAGTGCAGCAATGCATTAAAGTTCTAATGAAGACAACATATACGGAGTATTTATCAAAGTAAAAATAGATCAGTGTACATATTTTGAGCTTTTAATGAGTTTTTGCCCATTCAAGTTGCTTGTATAAGCTGGAGTGAGGTCCACACTGCAGAGCTGTGCAGTGCTGGAACTGAACTTAAATTCCAAACCAAAAACCACCCTTCTCACAACAACCAAAGCCAAGCGTTGACAACAAAGCTTAAAAAGAAGAGTGTTTGTTTCTGTGTGTGTGTGAATGCCCAGATATCAAAGTGTTGACAAAGTCCCTCAGCATGTGTGTGAATGCCACATTCATCAATGTGCCATTCTGGGGTCAACAAGAAGAAAAAAGAAAAACCAAGATTTGTATTCAAACCTTGAAGTCAATTCAATCTGATCTCTGGTCAACTAGCAGAATGTTCAAACAGATGGTAAAAACTAAAATCAACTCAAAAGGTAGATAACAAAAAAGGCCAAGCAGATTTTTATTCTCCAAAAGACTAAGCAGCAGGATTAACAATATAGCATTGATAAAGAAAGATCCAACCTTTTTACTAATTTCTTTACATGATATACATATAAATATATATAGTTAATAGATGTGACACTTGAACTCTATTCTACACCAGATTTTTTATTTTTTTTCATGACATAATCAAACTGCTATAGACCAATCTATCACGGAGTATCATTCAAGCCCTTCAGTCCTGCAACGAACGATCTTATGAAACACTTCCCTGACCCTGCACTCCAAAGGGTTCAACCCATCATTCAGCGCGCCAAACACGGCCCTAACCTCGTCCACTATCTTCCTCGCTTCTCCCTCCTTCTCCTCGCTCAGAGGAAAATGAACAGAGTTGATCAATTCGTTCACGCGACGAACAGATTTCTCAATCTCATGAATCTCCTTCAACAGCCCGCAAGCGTTTCTCCTGTCCTTCTTCTTTGACTCCTCAAGGACCCTCTCGTGAAGGGCCATGAGCGGGCCTGCCCAGACGAACTGCTGTTTGTTCACGTAGAAATGGGTCTGCAGGCCGCGGTCCTGACAAGGGATCGCGGCGACAAGGGCCCACATCACAAAGTAAAGAACATAGCTCATAGTGAAGACAGACAATGCCAATCCATTGGAAGCCACAATTTCACTGCTTCTTGGGGCAGATAAGTTGTTCCCAATGGTTTGGAGCTGTCTGGCTGCTGACCAGTTCCTGGAAACACTCCAAGATAGCGAACGGAAATGGGTCAAAGATTTATTATTGTTACTACTATTACTATTATCCCTTTGACGCCCGAAGGAACGGTTTCTATGAGAAATGGATGTATTGTGAGACTCTTTCTCATCAAGCATGCTTATAGCCAAATCAACCAAAGCCTTCTTTGCCCTGCGAAACTGGCCTTCGCCGAGACTCCTGTGATGATGATTGTCCAATGCGCACAGCATGATCTCCAGATGCTTCTGCCACTGCCTGACATGCTCAATCCCATCTCGAATCGCATTGCAGACATCCAAACCCTTCACGCTCCTCTCAAAATACTCCCCAAGGTAACGCTCCGCGAGGGCTTTGTTGAAGGCCCCTTTGTTGGTCAAGAGAATTGACCGGAATTCGTCCTGGCAAGACAAGAAGACGTCCAGGAGCTTCTGGATCCACGGGATGGAGAGGAACTCGCCGGAATCAGAAGCCAAGAGGTCGGAGAAGCGATCCGCCACCCGTTTCTGGAAAGCCTGGAGATCGAGTTCTTGGTGAGAAGGGGGTTCCATGGAGTGGACCTGACCGCGACGAATGTTCATCAAAGATCGGCCGAAACTGGAAAAGGTTGTCCCTTGGGGCTCGGGAGCTCGCATTTCCGGGAGATTCTGGAAATTCCGACCAAACCCACTACACAAGATTGGAAATTTAACAAGAAGATGGTTGGATTGGAGATGGACGCAGGCCCTGCATTCGCATATGAACGATTGCAGGGACAATTTAAAGACGCCAAGATTCAAAGCTTCCACAGGAGCCTACCGGATTCCTAACGCACAGAAAATCAAGAAAGAAAAACGAAAATTATCTCCACTCAAATCCGAAAAAATGGCAGCCCTAGCATTGAAGATGAGAGGGAGAGAGAGAGAGGGGGGATATTTTGGGAAGAGAATAAAGAGACGGGACTGTGGTAATGAGTTGGAACCCTAACAAGACGGGCTTTTTAAGAAGGGGGGATTTGGACCGCGTATTTAGTTTAATAGTTTTTGCTCCAAAAATAAGGGGCCGAGTATAAAATTCTGAGTAATTTTCAGACAGTGTTGTTTGAAATGGCAAATGATCATCCATTCTGTCTCATTAATTATTATTCCCTCCCTCCCAAATTATTTACAACGCTTGCTTTTTCAGCAATCGTGAAAAACTTTTGATTATTTTTAAATTTTTCATTGGTTATTTGATAATACAAAATATTCTTGACACCTCTTATTTCGAAGAACTTTTCATGTAGTTTTTTGATATGTAAATTTTATTTTTTATTTCTATACCAATATATAAATAAAATGAATTGAAAAAACTTGATATTTTACTTCGGGAATACAAGTGTTGCAAATATTTAGGGACGTAAGGAGTATTTTTTTGAAAAGGTCTCATTAAATTCTTCACACACCAATTGAACTATTCGAGAAGTATTATTATTTTTGAATAAATCTATTTATACTACAAATATTATAATCCGTACATTAAAGGTTTGCATTTACAATTTATATCAAAGTAAGTGTGATATTGATGACTTATATTAACATAAAATATTAGTATAAAGTTTTATGCCTGTCAAAATATAAGTCTAAACTTTTAAGTAATATTTTTTGGTATAAGTTTTTGGATACGTCTAGCATGGTAAAAATTTTATGTTGCTCTTTCCATTTCTTATCACTACGGGGTATTTAGAAATAACTACAGTATCCGATCTTAAATATTTGTCTAGTTTTGACTTTTTACAATCAACCAGTTTCAATTATATATACATATATATATATATATATATATATATATATATATATATATATATATATATATATATATATATATAATATGTTGAAAATATTATATAGAATAAATCTAATAATATAATTTTTGCATCAATATCTAATATCACTTTAATTTAATTTGTCGTCAAAATTTACCAAATTTGATAAAAATAAAAAATGAACAAAATACTCGGAGACGGAGGTGATTTTGATTATGTGCGCCCACTTGATTGAGACATGTCTGGCACCCGTCAAGAGAAAGTTGACTGGACAATTTTCTTCTTCATAACTAAGCATTAATGTTATCTTTAAAAATATATCTAAAAATTTCTTTTCACGATTGATCATAATATTTTATTTTATGACCGAATAAAAAGACAGTATGATGATCTTATCTTTACATGTAGAGTATTCCTTATTAGACTGATTATATAGATGGCTGCTCATGATCCTCATGGAATGTAACATGAGTCCCCACTTGTTAATCCTTAGGTAATCTCATTATTATGAGGATTAACCAGTCTCAAGTCTTGATTTGATCCGATATGAATTGGAATGGTTTTGGTATATCCAATGACAATAGAATAATTAATAATCATTGAATTGATTATATTTTGAAGATTAACTAGTCTTTTTAAGAAGTGAATATGATCTAACTAGTCAGGTCTTTTTGCTCATTTCTAGTCGGTAATCCCACTCATGATTTGTGATTATGACCGCGCGATTAATAAATGCGAGTGGGGAGTAAACTATTAGCTAGCCTGTAACTAATTAATAATGGAAATTAGGATGTTCTAACCACATCATTTATTAATGTCCACAACAATCATTTCCAATTGTAGCCTTTTTCACACCTAAGCTGACGCTATCTCATAAGTCATTACTCATATTATATGACACTTCGTAAATGCATAGGCGTTACATATTAGATGCACTAAGTTTATGTTAAAAATTACCACGCCAAAAATTGTACTCCGTAATTATAGGGGTATTTTTAATAAAATAAAGTCAATAGCATTAAATAAAACTAGATAACTAAGATGGTAGAGCAGACCCAAGAAATTTAGTACATTGGATTTCGTGTTTATAAAAGTAAAAAATAATAATAATAATAATAATAATAATAATAATAATAATAATAATAATAATAAGTACCACAAGCTTAGTTTTACTATCACTTGAAGTATTAACTAAACACTTGACAGTGCTGAAGGTGCAACATTTGAAGCTTCAAAACTCACATGTTTCTCCACATCATGTAATGTGTTCTTCCTTACAGACAGCATCGGCCAGAAATACGCTCCCTGAATCGCACCATCCCGCCACAAGGTCCTTGTCGCCGCACTACAAAACCCAAAAAAAGGGTGTGTGTGAGAGAGAAAGAGAGAGAGAGAGCAGAAAACAAAGTTGAAACAGCAACCAGGAAAACATCTGTTGTTAAGCATACCTTGTTGAAGCCAAGCCAGTTTGAATCGCCTCTAAATGAAAACCCTTTCATTCCATCTCTCCACTGTCCACACGAAACCTGCCAATACACAAGTTCATGTACATAATGTCATGTCAAACTACCAAATAAATATAGTAGTGGTACAAAAGAAGTCATGTTTCGTGAAACGGAGTTAATTAAGCATGTAATATGTAAATATAAAAAATTTTACTCCGTAGGATTCATTGGTTACATTGTTACAAGTTATAACCATTGAACATTTATCAAACATGGTTATCTTTTCTTGGAAGACTTTGGCATTGATGCTATAGAGTGATAAACAACGAAAAAAGTGTGTTGAGATGTGTGAATAATTAGAGCAAACTGGGGCCCAGGGTCTCGATGCAGTAGTAGTTTTAACCAAAATATGGAGTTTGGAGAATGTATAACTAGAATATAAAGTTAAAAACAACATGCACTTAGTTTTTTGGCAAGTTATACCACAAAAACTCAAATAGTAAGATACTAGCCTGGCTTTTTACAAATACTATAAGCTTTCATTCACCTCATAATCAACTCCTTGTACATAAATGTAATCTGAATCAACTGAGGAGAACGCAAGTCTTGTTATCTGCAAGAGTGAAAAAAATTATTGGCATGTGGGAACCAAAGGACGGTTAATGTTGGGACTAAAAATTCAATGGACGCTGGATTTCATGCCACCGCATTGGGCACTGTTGGGATTGAAGTGAAGAAGATGACCCTTGCAACTCATATTTGTCATTAAACAATGAAGTGCAGTACTACTCTGACCTCATATTTAGAGCAGTTCATCCATCTTGACAGGGCTGACCATCTGCATTCAAAGAGTTTAGGGCAAGAGGAACCAATATTAAGATTTCTTCTCCCATGTAATGTTGATAGGTGTGTTACTTGTATCTATGCTGTTACTCTGTTCGTGCTAATGGGTTTACTTTAATTTCTTGGTACTTCTATGTTTGAGTCGGGGGTCCCTCGGAAACAGCCTCTCTACTTCCCACTAGGGACAAGGTCTTTGTGCAAACATGCACACACCCTCCTTACACCTTACTTTTTGTGGGATTTTACTGGGTTTGTTGTTGTTGTGATTACGAATTAAATGCTAAAAAAATTAAAAATTGAAGCATATACAACATAACAGTTTTAAGAGTAAATTCCATAAATGGTCCCCAATTATACAGGTGGTTTTCCATATTTAGTCTTCAATGATAAGATGTTCCATAAACAGTCTTCAATTTTTGAAAATTGTTCCTTAATTGTAATCCTTCAAGGACTGGAAAAATATTTTGTCATATTTGACTGTTTATGGAATATCTTATAATTGGGGACTAAATATAGAAACCTACCTATATAATTAAGGACCATTTATGGAATTTACTTCAGTTTTTTTTTATAAAAAAACTTGATCTAATCTATCCCCTTATAGATCATGTAAAGAAAAGAGACACCATGAAAATAAAAGCCCAGCAACAAAGTTATAGTTTTGTTTAGCTAATAGTTCCCCCCTCATAATGATTTTCACTGCTAAAGTTCAAACATTGAAAGATTAAGTGATGCTTCAAAAAACAAGAAACAACCTGCGAGGGTCATAAACAGAAACGGTGCGATCAGCTCCACCTGCTGCAATAGTTCCATTTGAGGAATCACAGACTGCATATAAGATGTCCCCTACTGACCCACAAATTCTATGGACACACCCTCCTTTTTCTCTCATTCGTATGTCCCATATACTAAGCTGCAGCAATATCATATCAAAGGGAAATGCATGATTAGAGAAAACAATAAGCACAATCTGACCAAGTCTAGGGAGTATTCATTGGAAGTGTTATTAGCAACAAAATGAAAATTTATTTTAGCAACGAATTGAACAGTATACAATGCTTAAATATATTTAAAGAAATAAATGTGCATGATGAATAATCTTTAACTTGTAAATGGGCATATGCACGGTGTACAATAAACACCGCACATCTGCATGTATGATTTAGGAACTCGAGAATATACAGGGATAAAAAGAGGGAAAAGAAAATATATTGTTTGGTAGGTGCAGCTGAAATTGCTAGATATAAATATTCAGTTTTTTGGTTAACTTTGGAATGGTAAGAAATAATTAGTTTAAATACTGAAGCACCCCAACATTTGTCTTTCTGAAATAACTATTATGCATATCTGTGAGGGCATTATTGTCCAAATGAACTAACTTTTTCTCTATTGACCATAAGGATTAAAGAGCACCAAATAAGTGGCAGAATGCTTTTTTACTCAGATATAAGGCAAACATATTCCAAACAGAACCAACTATATTAACCTATCCTAGGAATAAACAACGAAAAGTTTCTCCTTCCATCTAAACGACCCGTTAAGTGTTGAAATCTATAATGAGCATTGGAAATACCTGGCACCCTTCTGTGACGGCTAACATTGAGCTCTCACCATGACCATTCAAATTTTGCATGAAGATCAATGAAGTTGGATACAACAATCTGCTAACATGATAATAAAATTAGGAAGCATGTACAAGGGGTTTAAATACAAGCATTTGAGAGTGATCCCAAAATTAATCTATTCTCAGCTGAACTAATAGTGGTAATACTCCAAGATCGCAAAGTGATCATAGGTACACCTCAAAAAATCAGGGGATCCATCATCCATGTAAACCAAAAATTCTTTGGGATTATTATTGTAAAAATATAAAATTCCTGGAGCACCAATGATAACTATGCAATCTTGGAGTATTCATGTAAAATCTCAAATTCCTGAGAGCCTTGGCATGATTTTGTTCCAAGATTAAAAGATATGAGCTAAAAAAGCAGTCGCAGTATTAAACAGTAAGGTGGTACTTGCGCGCGTAGACTGCGAAGATGAATATCTTGGTCATACACATCAATGCTCTTCCCAAAACTGTGTGCAACAGCTGCCTGTGGAAAAAGCTATGGATTAGTGAAGTTCTTAGGAAAAGGGGGAAGATTTATATCTATAAACAAGTTCATGAAATTGCATAAAAAACAAAATAACCCTGTTTCCTTGATGTCACTGGCTGATGAAAAAGAAGTGATTATTTAGAAATAAATGTCATGTTAGCTTAAAGTTATTGGAATGCAGTTTGCTCCACAGAATACATTGCGAATATTTTAAGCAGCTTTATATGTCAAAAAAATGTTACTATTTTAGCTCCATTTTGTGTATAAGCTGTTGAAACTACACATTCACCTGGTCTTAATGTCTTATTTTCTTTGTCTTACTCTCCTAGTCTTCTTAGTTTGTCCCAAAAAAAATGTTAACTTTCCTAGTGAAAGCAATAATTTCTTTTTTTTACTTTTCCCGTCACACTCTCCATATTAAATTTTAAAATGAGTTGACACTCATCAAAATGTGGACATACACCCTCCCCAAAACCACATTGTGGCATTTTACTGTATATGTTGTCGTTGTTGTTGAGTAGACACTCATCAAATCAAACGAACTATAAGAAAGCATAGTACCATGGACCACTGAGTTCGATTGAAGCATAGACCAGCCCAACTACCCTCTCCAACACCACAATCTCGAGGAGAGATTGAAAAGGTCGACCTATCTACATCTGGAATACATTTTGAAATGTAAATAGATCATAACTCAATCTTTGCACAAAATGATGGTAGCAAGAATGGGAAGTAGAAATGCATACCTTCACCACACATTTTTAATTTAGAAACTATAACATAGCCGTACGAGTCCACACTTCCTAAAACTGAGAAACCAGTGCCTGAAAATGCAACATCCAAAGCTCTCACGCAATTATAAATAGCACAACAACAAACCCATTAAAGGAGTGGAGTCTGGGGAGGGTGTAACTAGGCAAATCCTGCCCCTACAAAGGGAGTAAAGAGGTGGTTTACCACCGGCTCAAAACACGTGATCATAAAGAAAACAAGAAAGTAGCACAAAAACAAAGTAATATTGAACTAGTGACCCATAATCACATAAGAAAACCATTTCAGTTTAATGATGAGAAATAATTCTACTCAATCCAAGCAAAAATGATCACTCACTGTCAGTTTCGGCAAGCACTATTGATTGTATTTCGGAACGATGAGGGCATCGATTGACAATTGCAGATTCCAGAACCTGCACATATTCCTCATTAGATGAGTAAAGCCCTACTGGTGATGATGCAATCATGTTCGAACAGTAGCTGCAAGTAATAACACACAGGTACCTCGGTTTGCTCGGGGATTAGGAGGTCCTGCTTTCCTAGATTCACTGCTGAATTATTTGTTGAAATCTGGATGCCGAAAAAAGAAATTTCATTTTCATAACATTAGAATTAGAAGCACATGTGAGATGACAACTTACAAGGAGTTTGTAAATGCTACAACCGGAAGCAATATATACCCAGCACGATTCATCGCCTCTAGCGTTTACCTGTGCATTTTAGGGGGGGAAATAGAAGATGGTGATGATGATGAATTATTGAGCTTAGTTTCAGAAATTTGAATTTTAAAATGATAGGATGAGCAATTGGTGAGCGGACATGGAGGGCGAGACGCGTGGGCTGGAGGTTTCCGGGAGAAGGGTGCTCGAATAGGCTCGACGGAACCGCCGCTTTCTTCAAGCTCTTCGCCTCCAGCATTTCTTATCAGCCGCGGCGACCGGCGGCGGCGGTGAGCCGGCAACTGAAGTGAAGTTGCTGAACAGAAAACAACGGTGGGAATTTGGGACAGGAATAAAATACGGAGTACTCCGTAAAAATACTGTAGCATAAAAGCGTTGAAAAAATTGCAAAAAAAAAAAGCAATTGGGCTTTATTCAAAAGAAATACAGGCCTATATTTCAAAATAGGCCATTCTTGAATTCCACATAATCTGTCTCCAATCTCCATACATTCATATATGTATGCATATGAATGTATTATATACTCCGTATAATACAATAAATTAAAATATAAAAATTATATTTAACTAATTATATACTCCGTATAAAAATATACAATAAATTAAAATATAAAAATTATATAAAATTACTATAATTAAAAAATTCTTTAAATGTATTATTTTTTAAAAATATTTGCTAATATACTATAAAAAATATTGTTAGCCAAACTTTAAGTACGAAAAACGAACCGAACAGTTAAATAAGAATGAAGAGAGTACTTGGAAGTCCCAATTCAATTTTTTTCATTTGCTAGGCTAAAAAGAAATAAATATATGTGGTTGAAGTTTGTGTAAAAAAAAATTGATGTGAATTGAGACAAGTAATCATGGGTGATTCATAGATTAGACCTCACATGTAAAAAAATTAATGTAAAGAACAAATTTCATGTAAAGAACAAGAGAAGTAATCCAGACATTAGAACTCACAACATCATTCTTTTCTTCTTTTTTTGATCAGATTTTTGGAGAATGTATTAATCAAACTTCAAAAATTGTGACCATATGTCTTGTGTATCCCATCCCACCAACATTTTCACTTGAAGCACAAGATTATAGGCTCCAAACTAAGGTAAAAAGCAAGTCCCAAAAGAACATGCCCTCATTGGCTTGAAGCCTTTTATTTCCATCACCATGGCTATTAATTACCCCTAACATTGGATTTCCAAGATCCAAAAACAATACATTCAGCAGCACATACAGAAAACCCTCAGGTTATTTAATTACCAGTATTACAATCATAGCAGCTGAAATGACTCTTTGCTGATGATCCTAAAATTGTTTTTGCACAACCAGATGAATTTATAATAACAAAAAAATGGGTCTGATTAAAATTACCAAGACCATTTTTTTTCTTTCAATGTCTTACATTTCAAATAGAGCTTTACCAGTGTCCCCCGCAAGCATCCCCTTCCGTTTCAACTCCAACGCCATGCGTTCGTTCTCAAGTTTCATCCTCTCGTTCTCCATCCGCATACTCTCCAACTCAAACTCTTTCTTCTTGCTAAACTTCTGCCACTTGATCCGCTCCCTCTCAAGCTCCAACATTTGTGCTTGGATCTGCAGCTTCTGTTCCTCGAGCTGAAGGAAGCGCTGTTCCATCCAGCGTCTGTCTCTCAAATCATCATCGGTTGGCCCGAACCCTAACTGGCTTGCGTCTGCATTTGCATTATGTGGCTGGAAACCCAACGAACCTGCATAGCAGTCATTTGGTCTGATCCTCTTTGTGGGACCACCGCCCTGAATCTCTTCGCACTCTTCCTCGTGCTCGTCCAGCTCAGCATCCGCATCATCGTCGTGGTCAGCGTCTCTGGTTCTTAGAGCAAGCCGCAACGAGCGCTGCAAGTCGGGGTCGGGAGGCAGGTGTAAACGGTTTCCGTTGTGGTAAGAACACATCTCCTCATAGTGCAAGTGCTTCGAACTCAGAATTTTTCTGACTTCTTCCTTTGCTTTCTCCGGAACGTGGTCCATCATGTCCAGGAGCGCGGGATTCTCAACAACCTCGCAAGAAGTGCCCTTCCCGAGGATCTCGTTCAACCTCTTGTACCTTTTGTTGAGATCGTTGAACTTATCCTCGCATTGTTGAGGGGAAACAAAATGTCCCCTTTCAGCCATGACCTTGGAAACAGATTTCCATTTCCCCTTTTTGTGTAGATTGGACGACTTCCTCCTCCCACTATACTCAGCAGAAGCTTCCTCGCCGATGTAAGAGACAGCAGTGATGAGTAACCTCACCATCTGATCAGTCCATTTCACACGGTGCCAAACGAGTGCTTTCTTCGCCCTATTCTGATCGTCGCTCGCCGACTTACCACCCTCATCATCATCGCTCGTTGATTTAACGCCCTCGCCTTTGCCATAGTCACTCAAAGTAATGTTCTGATTACAATCCGGCACAATATTGATCGAGAGGGGAAAGTTCTCGTGGATCGGCAGCTGGCGAACAACGGATCCTGCGTGTATGGGATGGGAGTGTAGACCAGCATGGTTATGAACCCTAATGGAACCTTGCAAATCAAAACCCCCATAAGAACATCCCGGCATCAAATTCCCAGACGATATATTTCCTTCCATTTTTTTCCTTTCCCTACAACAGTGGTTGGGAAAATCAACTCAGAAATGCTGTTCAAAAGGAGCAAATTATTGACTCAGAAACAACCAAAGGCCGAAGCATTTCATCTCTCAACAAGTCCAGATTCATCAATCCAGCAAATATCGAAAAAAAATCGACAAGAGCAGACTTATATTTCACATATTACAAATCATCATACCGAAGCCAGACATTAGAGCAATCTACGAAGCATAAAACCGAAATCGCAAAAAAAAACAAAATCCGAATCGAGAAACTCTGTCTGGAAAATAAACAGCAAAGCTATGTCGCGATGGAGAACTTACACATGTGTAAGAAGAGATCTGCTGGGCACCGGCCGAGAAGATGGAAGGATTCAAAGCCTTTTCGATATATAGAGGAAAAAGGGAGAAAATTCGGAAGGGGTTTTTACTGTTGGGAAGAGGGAAAAGGGCGAAGAAGTGAGTGGGACCTGTGAAGCTAAATATTTCTCGTGTTCTCCACAATCACAGTGGCTGAAAATGGTAGGGGAAATAGCTTAGCTTTAGCTTAGCTTAGCTTAGAAAGACGGAAGGGGTTAATGACCAACGACAAGCAAGAACACCTACGTACAGGCTACAGCCTTGTATCGTACTACCTTGGTCCACCAAATTCGTTTTTTTTTACTAAATTTAATTTATTTCATTGTAGATAGGGAGTATAAAATTAAAAAATACTTGGTCCGTACTTGAGTGTGTTTGTCCACTTTTAACTTTTGGAATTGTTCATCTAAGTACTTTGATTCATCAAATTCTCTCAATGTGTAAGCCTAAAAATAGTCATGTATGATCTTATTTGATTCGTCTTAACATATAGATTATTAGTATATAATTTTTTAATATACAAATTACAAGATAAAACGGATTAAAGAAGTGTATTGGATGGTGTGCAAAAATGAAAGTGGACAAACACTCAGGAACCGAGGTAATATAATTTATGGAGAAAATAATTACATAAATAGTTTTACATAACAAAAGGTAGTATGACTGTATTATATTCCCTCCGTCCCCATAGATCTTTTCATTAGCTTTTTTTATTTGTCCACCATAGATCTTCTCATTACTTTTTTTTAACTATTAAAATATCACAACTACCCTCACTTACTTTATTTATTACTTCACTCGCCTCATTTAATACACTCCATCCATTTTCATTAAGGATATTATGGTAAACGTTACATTTTTCAATTTTCCTTAAAAACCTCAAAAGTCAAAACGAGAAGATCGTAGGGGGCGAAGGAAGTATTATGAAATGAATGATAAAAATAATCAGACAAAATGGATTAGGTTAGACCGTGTGAATAGCGTATGAGAACAACTAGCTTGGACGGATAGGAGAGAGTAACAAACAATGATTGCCCACGAAAAACTATCTTGTGTGTTAATATGTTACTCTTCTGTCTCCCATATATTTTCTCATTAGCTCTTTTTATTTATCTTATAGAAATCTTCTCATTAGTTCTTTTAACATTAAAAATATTACAACTACTCTCATTTACTTTATTTATTACACCTTTCTCACCTTATTTATTACACTCTACTCATTTTTATCAATTTTCATTGTATCTTTTTTGCTTTGTAAAACATATAATCTTATATATATATATATATATATATATATATATATATATATATATATATATATATATATATATATATATATATT